TTTTATCTATGGGCCATTGGATCCTATAAATCCCTATCCAGAGTTTTTGGAGCTGTACAGGAAAACGCTGCCGCGGTCCACAGTGTCGATTCTGGATGACCACATTAGCCACTACCCACAGCTAGAGGATCCCATGGGCTTCTTGAATGCATATATGGGCTTCATCAACTCCTTCTGAGCTGGAAAGAGTAGCTTCCCTGTATTATCTCCCCCACTCCCATATCTGTTGTGTATTCCACTTAGGAAGAAATGCCCAAAAGAGGTCCTGGCAATCAAACACTGTTTTCTCACAAAAGTCCACTTTACTCACATTGATGGATCAGAATATAGAAAAAAGGCAGCAGAAACTCTGACAAAATAGCCCACCTCATTCCTTTGACGTCTGATGAAGTATATAGACTTGTCTTTGTGTTATTAGGAAATTCTGATGAGCATGACTTCTCATGGATGCATAGAGACAGGCATTAGACATTCTTTTGCTTAGAAGACTTTTTAACACTTCTGTGGAACTTTCCTGAAGTATCTGAAAATGCTAATTTCTGGCCCAACCCGAATTGGAATTCCACAGTAGAGAATGAGGAGTGGGGCCTGTTATCTCTCCTTAAATGGCTTGAAGGGTACATGGTTTTTAAAGTTCTCTAGGCAACATAGTTTAAGTGAGAGTGAATATCCCTTGTCATACTTGGATTAGTTTCATCAGCTGCTTCAAATTATAGACATTTTGTTAAAATATTTGTTTAAGTAATGCAGTATTTTAAAGTATGGTATAAGAGTATGATATGCCTACACATTGTATATAGTTTATAAGGACACTAAAATGGCAGACCTTTACTCTGCTAAAGTAGTGAACCTTATTAAACGTGTAATTTCTGAGTAAACTAAATCCAAATTATTTACAGAATTTCCTAAAATCACAGACATTAAGAACCAATTGCATCTGTGCCAGAGATTTACTGTTATTAGCTGGAAAGATCAATTCTAACAGCAAATAATAGTTTAACTACTCATACCTCAGTGCTTAGAAGCATGTCCCTCCTGGGCTGAAGTGTAGGGAGGGGACTGTTGTATACTCGGAGTTAGCCTTGCTGAAGTACACTGACTCCTCTGGTGATGGTGGCTTAGCTTCCCATTGGCTGTCCCAGAGAGGCTTTCTCATGCAGCTCAGCAGTTCCTGTACTTAGCCGACAGGATAGTTCCCAGACACTTTAAGAACAAATTCTCAAAGACCTATAAGCAAATGGTGCTGAACAGTTTTTTTTAAGCCACAGTTTCATTGTCTTAGTCAAAGTAGGATTATTAAGTGATTAATTTTAAATTCGTTTTTTAAAAATTAGGAACTTCAAGTATAACAACTTTGAAACTGGAATAAGTGTTTATTTTCTATTAATAAAAATGAATTGTGACTAAAAAAAATTATTTCCAAATAAATAATTCAACAAAAGCTCCCAGATATAAGTAAACCAGTTTCCATATTTAAAGTATCCATAGTATGTTCAGAAAAATAAATAACATTTTATACTCATTTATGCAACATTCACATTTACATTGTTATGGAATTTCAGAATACCTGGAAAGAAGATAAATATTCGATTGGGGATTTAGCTCAGTTGGTAGAGTGCTTGCCTTGTATGCACAAGACCATGGGTTCAATCCCCAGCACTCCCCCCCCCCAAAAAAAAAATTGAGAAAGGTGAATAGGTCACATTTGAAGAATCACCATACAGAATGGTAACTGAGATCTCCAGTGGAATACCAACGTAAATAAGCAATGACTTAAAATTTTTGAGGAAAAAAAATAGAACAATTCTATTCTAATCAACATATTATGGTTAAAATGCATTTTTAGAACTTTTTGGCGTGTGTGGTACTGAAGATTGAGCCCAACAGCCTTGCATGCAAAAGCTCTACCACTAAGCTATAGCCTTACTGACATTGACTTTTTTTTTTCTTTTTTTGTGTGTGGCTGTACTGGGTATTGAATGGAGGGGCACTCTACTGCTGAGTTACACCCTCCCCAGCCCTTTTTATTTTTAGAGTTAGGTTCTTGCTAATTTGTCCAGGCTGGTCTCAAACTTGCAATTCTCTTGATTCAGCTTCCAAAACAGATCATGGAATTACAGGCATGAACTACCATGCCTGGCACAACAAAACTACTTTAATCAAAGTGAGGCAAAGATAAATTCTGAATGAATTGGTTTATTGCAATGTGCACAAAAGCAAAATAAGAAAAAGGAATATGTGAAATTATAAACCAAAATAGGCAAAGAAAATAACTCCAACACAGAATGTTAGTAATGAGTCAAAGGCCTTGTGTCCATGGAAGAAATTGTCCAAATAATCTGCAAGAGCAAGCCCTTGAAGGTGGCATTCCTACAGGTCTGGAATGCTGAAGATGAAGTGAAATGACTTAATTTGACAGGACCTTCTGCCTTTTCAGAGTGAATACTTGCAAAGAGTGGAGTCACAGGAAGGTATGTCTCAACTAGCAATCTGAAATGTTGGTATTTGGAGTCCCAGAAGGTATATTATCTTAGGTTCTGGGGTCAAAAGTCCCAGATACTATCTTATTTTTGTATCAGCACACAGTTGTAAATGTGGTTATGAAGGAGGACTAGAGGGACATGTTCAATGTAGACAAAATGCATGTATTAAAGAACAGCAAATCTGGTATGTACGTATGTATTATTATTATTATTATTTTACTACTGGGGTTTGAACCCAAGGGCACTCTATTACCATGCTGTTTCCCCAACTGCTTTATTTATTTATTTATTGGTACTGGGGATTGAATCCAGGAGTGCTTCACCACTGAGCCACATCCCCAGCCCGTTTTAAAATATTTTATTTAGAGACAGGGTCTCATTGAGTTGCTTAGGCCCTCACTAAATTGCTAAGGCTGGCTTTGAACTTGTGGTACTCCTGCCTAAGCCTCCCAAGCTGCTGGGATTACAGGTGTGGGTCACTGCACCTGGTGTATTTTATTTTTTGTTTTGACAAAGGGTCTCACTTTTTGTCAAGGCTGGGCTCGAACTTGTGATTCTCTTGAAACAGCCTCTGGAGTTGCTGGGATTACAGGCATGCTCGACCACACCAGCTTGTATTAGATACAAGGAGCCCATTTGATCTCAGCATAGAGAATTACAGTGAGACAGCAGCAAATGATTCAGGATTGGCACAGTTGGATAACACCATGGTCTTAAGAAGCGGTGTTGAAGGTCTGGGGTAGGGGCGGCAGGCACCATGTCCGGCTGGGAAGGTAGCAAGAAGAAGCCCCTGAAACAACCTAAGAAGCAGGTCAAGGAGATGGATGAGGAAGATAAGGCTTTCAAACAGAAACAAAAAAGAGGAGCAGAAGAAACGTGAGGAGCTAAAAGCGAAGGCCACGGGGAAGGGCCCCCTGGCCACAGGCAGAATTAAGAAATCTGGCAAAAAGTAAGCCGATTCTTGTGCCTGAAATGATGGTGACCGTTGATTCCATTCCTATTTAGACATCAGGATCCCTGCTGGAACATCTTTTGCCACCTATAGCTAGAATGAAGTGTTGTATTAGAGTCTGTTGCAAATTTAATAAACTTTTGTAAAATAATAATAATACACACACACACACACACACAAAACTGTTTGTTTCTTTGTTTAAGAAACAAAAGAAGCTGTGTTAGCTCCAGGGCAACGAGGAGCCACTGGAGGGGTCTGACAAGAGTGGTATCAACATTTTAAATGCTCACTTTGTATTTATTTATTTATTTTTTGGTACAAGGGGCACTGGTACTGAGCCACATTCCCAGCTCTTTTATTTTTTCTTTAGGCTGGATGACTGCCGAAAGCCATCCATGGGCTGTGTGTGTGAGCTATGTGCATTGCAGCTATATGAGCGGACAGGTCTGGCATTGCACGCTGACTGGGCTGTGCCATGCAAGTGCCCCTCTCCTCTCCCTCTTCCCGTGACCCCACACAGCACCTGAGATGGGTATTACTTGCCAAGATGTCAATCAATCTGCTGGCCACAGGTATCAGAAGCAAGACTCCACCTTTGAAACCTTATCTCTGACTTATTTGGTGTAGAATATTCTAACGAAAATCCTTTGTCTTCTTTATCCTATAAATGAAGGGATTGCAGGTGCCCTCCCTCTCTTGCCTTCCAGAGTGGAAGAGGACCCATGAGGTTGCAGAGCAGTCCCACTCTGATATGAAAATTACTTATGCGTCCTGTGCTTTTTCGCAGTTTTCTTAGCTTAATGTTGCAGTCAGCTCTTTTGAAACCATCTTATCTAGTCAGCGCCGGTCGATGGCCAGAGATGACCCTAACTTCTTTGGATCAGGGGGAGTGGCCCTTCCAATATAAAAATCCCTTAACTCCTGGTGTGCACCCTTACCCACTTCAAAGCCAGCCTTCACAGTTACTTCCTTCTCACGTCTACCTGTGAATTCATTCCTAATCGTGTTTCTTCTTTAATATTTCTTAAATAAGGACAATGGCTTCTCAACTCTGCCTGTGCTTTCTGTTTAACAGCCAGAATGCGCATGCGCTCTCTCTCTCTCTGGCAGCACTAGCATAGTTTACAGACATTGGACTTTATTATAAGATAGGATGGAGACCCACGTGCGGTGGTGCAGGTCTGTAATTCCACCTATGCTGAGGGAGGAGGATCACAAATTTGAGGTCAGTCTGGGCAGTTTAGCAAGACTCTCTGTCTCGAAAAATAAAAAGGGCTGGGCATGTAGCTTAGTGGTAGAGAGTTTGCCTAGCATGTACGAGACCCCGGGTTCAATCCCCCTAGGGATCCGAGACAGAATATGGAGAAATATCGGACCTGTTTTATAGGTCTCCGCTCCCCCCGGGTTAATAACACACACTAAAATCATTTGGCTTGTTTTGGCGACAGCTTCTCATTCTACCCGGACAGGAGATAAAGTGGGGCCTTATCTCCGCTCCAAGGCTGAATGACAGGCCCGCACTCCTCTCTCCGCTCACTCTGCAGGCAACCCCCCCCCCCCAGGACCGGCGCCGATGTCCCCAAGCCCTCTGGGAAGTGGAGTCCTTCCGCCCGGACCCCCGACCCGGCGCTGTCGCCTCCAAGTGCGCAGATGCGACTCCAGGCGGAGCGGCGTCGAGCTCGAGCCTTTTGTGTCCCCGCGCTCCGTGGTTCTGGCCGGCGGCCCCGTCCGCTCCTTCAGCCGTCCGGGAGAGCGCAGCCCACGAGGACCCCGCCCCGTGGCCAGAGCGGGGCCCGGAGCAGGTCCGGGGGTAAGTGAACGCGGGGGTGCCGCCCGTCCGTGCGCGCGGCTCTAACGCTCCCGCCGTAGCCCCAGAGGCTTTTCAGGTTCCGGCCGGGGTAAAGCTGGGCAGCCCCAGCTTCCCGCCCAACCGCGGGGGCAGGGCGCGCACCACCGGGGTCTCCATCCCGGGCGCGCGGGAATATCCGGGCTCTGCTAGGAGCTCGGGGCCTGCTAGGGCGGGGCTGCCGCTAAGGCCTCTGGGAAGTGGAGTCCGCTCTCGGAGGATTCTGGGAGCCGGCGTGTGGTGGGCGGAGCCCTCAGGCTGGCGTCGCGGGGGACCGCGAGCACCTGTCGCTGCTCTTGGACCGGAGCGGCGGCGTTCTGCACCTAGGCGGCCTGTGTCTTGCCCATCCCCCTTCTGTGCTTTGCTCTGTCAGAGTTTTGGGGTCTCCCTGTACTGGGGGGCCATTGTCAGCAGCCGTTTGGCTCTGAATGTTCAAGGAGTCCCCAGCTTGTACTTTTCAGGATCTTAAATTAAAAAGCGAGTGAGGAATCTGAACTATAAGGATCCCATTTACTGCTTCGTGTTGGTGAATACGAAGGATGAACCAACTGTAGCGCCATAGAGTTACTGCTACCATAATGACAGGCCACCTTCTTGCTGCTTTTGTGCTTTTGAGTCTTGTAGGAGGTATTTTTGTGCTTTTTTAAAAAAAAAAAATTCTTTCTTGTTTTTTGTGATGCTGGGGATAATCGAACCCAGGGCCTTCAGCGTGCTAGGCAGGTGCGCCACCATTGAGCGATACCCTTAGCTCTCATAGGCATTTCTGAAGGTTTTGGAAATAGGTGTGTGACTGAGGCTCACTGCCCTGATCCCTCCTGGTATTGTCTTGAGACTCCAGAGGATGGTTTTCCCAACCGTGGAGATTAATTTCCCCCAATAATAAAGATTCCAAGCAAAGTTGAAGTACGTATTAGGCATTAGGACTTAAATGCATAGGAACGAATTTACCGGGACTAGAGATAGAGTATCTCCCTCTGTTCCACAGGGAGCAGGAATGAGTTCTAGAGGAAGGCAAACCTGACCTCAAAAATCTCTCTGTAGAGTTTCACAGCGGAGTTGGGTGATTTACAGGAAGAAGCAGGTTATGTGTTGCTGAGAAGTCCATTTTCATCTCATCAGAAACAGTATATACTGAGAAAGAAATAGCAGGACAAGGAAGAAAAGCTGATCATGGATTATCTTACCATTGAAGTTGAGCCAACAGGTAAGAACTATGGAAATAAACATGAAGTTGAAAGTGAGAAGTGGGAGAACTACCTCTTATGCAATGAGAAGGCCCCACATGATAGAAAAGAGAAGCAGATATCTGTCAGAGAAGGCTCCAGAGTAAATATTATCACAATTAGAAATAATTAGTAGGGCTAGTCATGGTGCCTATATCTGTAATCACAGCTTCTTGGGAGGCTGAGGCAGGAAGATCACAGGTTCATGACAAGTGTAGGTAATTTAGCAAGACCTTGTCTCAAAATTTAAAAAAATGAAAAGGGCTGGGGACATAGCTCAGTAGTAGAGAGCCCCTGAGTTCAATTCCCAGTAACACACACATGCACAAAATAAATCATTGATCGTCTCCTGTAGCATGTTCTCCAGTCCCCTCCTCCTCTTTCTGCACTGCTGAACTCATCCACATCCCCTCTAAAAGCTGTAGAAGGGAGAATATTCCATAGTGTTTGCATTCATGAAAAGCACAGGTAGCACTTTTCTACCCCTGATAGGCTCTTCCAAAAAGATGATATGTTTGGGTACTGTGAGTTTAATTTTTTTTTGGGGGGGGGATTGAACTCTGGGGTGCTTAACCACTGAGTTCCCTCCCCAACCACTTTTTTTTTTTGGCTGGTTTCACTGCTGAGGCTGGTCTTGAACTTGGGATCCTCCTGCCTCAGCACCCTGAGTTGCTGGGATTACAGGTGTGCACCACCATACCTGGGAAATTTAACCTTTTTTTTATTAAAAGACTTTCACTTTGTTGTCCTACACTATCCCAAACTGAGAATTTTTAGTTAACAAGAATAGTCTTATTATGTAATTAGCTTTTTTCCAGTGAATTTGGGAAAATGGATGTTATCTCCTTCATGGTTTGTTTGCTGTTCCTTCCAGCCATGACTACTGATGCTTCTCTAACCCCAAAACAGAGCACAGAAGAAATGGAACCTACTGTTGAACTTCTTCCTGTTGAGTTCCAGGTGAATTTGAGTTTAATTTCATTTTGCTAAAATCTTGGTACAATGTGTCCTTGTTCCTTTCTTTCATGTTTCAGAGATCAAAGGAAATCCTATTTAGAGAATAGCACAAAAATAATTTTTTATTAAAAACTTGAAGCTCTGGGGAGAGCTCAGGTTGGAGGTTTGAATTTGAGTAATCTATATGGACCATATTTAAAACTATGAAACTGTGATTATTAAGAGAATGAGTATAGAAAGAAAAGAGGCAAGATATCATGACTGACTGCTTAGCTCTCCAACACTTAGAGATCAGAAAGATGGAGGGAAGCAGCAAAGGAGACTGAGAAAATGTGACCACTGAGGTGGAGGGAAAGTATGGCATCCCGGTCACCAATTGAAAAGAGTATTGTAAGGAGGAAGGAGTGTTAAATCAGCTGTGTTAAATGCTGCTTCTCAATCAAGAAAGACAAGGCCTGGGAATTGGATTTAAAGACAGGAAGATTACTGGTGACTTCGAATGGCAATTTCATGGAATGATAGCATGGGAATGAGTTAAAAAAATAATGGAGAGAAATTAGAGCCACAGACTATATACAACTATTTTAGAGAGTTCTACTTTAAATGAAAAGAGTTGGGGTGATAATTGAAGACTAAAGCGGTGTTTGATCATTTGTGAGGGTTTTTGATACGGAGGGTTGAACTCAGGGGCACTTGACCACTGAGCCACATCCCCAGTCCTATTTTGAATTCTATTTAGAGACAGGATCTCTCTGAGTTGCTTAGTGCCTCATGATCATTTGTTCTTTAAAGATAGGAAAAATATATTATTTATAGGTACATGAAAGTAGGTGGAGAAGAAAAGATGCTTCAGGATTGAGCCCTGAGAACTCAAAATTTAGAGCCATTTTTCAAATATTACTAAATTTTTAAAAAATAAGTAATTGGGAGAGTTAGGGAAAATACTTACAGATGAAGAAACTGAGACTCATTGTAACTTGCTCAGAACCATCAAGTAGTGGGTCAGAATTGAGATATGTCTCGTTCTCAATTCTGTTCCTCTAGCCAGTATAATCTATTTTTTTAAGAATTTTTTTTCATAATACCTTTATTCTACTTATTTATTTTTATGTGGTGTTGAGGATTGAACCCAGGGCCTCACATGTGCTAGGCAAGTGCTCTACCACTGAGCTACAGCCCAGCCCCAGTCTAATCTGTTGAGTGACTTTTCCAGAAAGAATTCTACAGGTAAGTCTGGTTAATAAAGTACATGTATGACTATCAGCATACATAGAATTTGAATCTTAGCCAGGCTCAGTGGTGCAGGCTTGTAATCTCAGCAGCTCAGAAGGCTGAGGCAGGAGGATCACAAGTTCAAAGCCAGCCTGGGCAAAAGTGAGGCACTAAGCAACTCAGTGAGACCCTATCTCTAAACGAAATACAAAATAGGATAGGATGTAGCTCAGTGGTTGAGTGCCCCTGAGTTCAATCTCTAGTACCTGCCCCCCACCAAAAAAAAAGAATATGAATCTTACCTTGGAACAGTAGATAATTTTCAACTTAAGTTAGTAAATTCACTCATTCAGAGAAAGTTTAACTACCAGAGTGTAACTGAATGAATCTAAAAGTCATGACCCAAAATCCAGAGCAAAAAGAGGCCTGCCTGTTAGAATAGCACTACTATCTACATACATTCAAAATATCAGCTTGAATTTCTTTAAAATCTCAGAATATACTTGGGATCAGTGTAAGTTACATATTTGAGCCTTATCTCATCAACAACAGTGATTAACATTGGGTTATCATTCAGTGATTAATTTACATTAGATCATTTAGTAAAATATAAGAGGCAGAAGACTATAGTTAGGAGTATAGCTTTGGAGTCATTATTGCCTGGTCCAAATCCCAGATCTGACACTAACATCTGTAGATGATGTTAATAATAGTACTTACTATTGTATTATATGATTGTTCTTGTGAGATAGTGCAAAGGACTTAGTCCAAGTAAGTAAATTTTTATAAATCTTAGGTTTTTAGTATTATGTTTCTTAACAGACTAATATTTAGTAATTTGATAAAATTCCATTAAGGTAAAGGTTTAACCTTCAGATTGAAAAGGATTTTCTCTTCTAGATTATTTCCTCCCCTCAGGATTAACAACCCCTTTTTTAATGTGCTTGATCTTCCAGGAATTGATGACAGTCAAAGATGAGGAAATGGACTTCACGCATGAAGAGCTGGAAGAGCTGAATTCTGCCCACAGGTACATGGGCATGGATATGAAGGTGGATAATTATGGAAGCCTAGTATTTTGGGGTAAGGAAATATAATTTTGTGTTGCAAACTGCTTTTTAGGACACCAGTATCTCAGCCAATTTGAGCTGCTATAACAAAATAGGATAAACTTTGTGGCTTATAAACAACAAAAGTTTACTTCTATGTTTCTGGAGGCTAGGAATTCCGGGATCAAGGTGCTAGCATGTCTGGTATTTGGACCCACTTTCTGTTTCATAGATGGTGCCTTTTCATTGTTCGTATAGCAGAAGGGTCTTTCTGGGGCCTTTTTTTTTCCTGTTGAAGATGGAAACAATACATTTATTTTGTTTATTTATTTTTATGTGGTGCTGAGGATTGAACCCAGTGCCTCACAGGTGCAAGGCAAGCATTCTACCGCTGAGCCACAACCCCAGCCCCTAGGGCCTTTTTTTATAAGGCCTTTTAATTGTATTCCTGAGGGCTGTTCTCTCATTATATAATCATCTACCAAAGTCCCCACTTTGGAATACTATCAATGTGGGGGTTAAGATTTCAATACATGGGGCTGGAGTTGTGGCTCAGCGGTAGAGCGCTTGCCTAGCATGCATGAGGTGCTGGGTTCGATCCACAGCACAACATAAAAATAAATGAAGAAAGGTATTATGTCCAACTAAAATATTTAAAAAAAAAGATTTCAATACATGAATTTTGGGGGGATGCAAACATTCAGACCACGACTGAAAGCTTCCTCAATAATTAACAGAATATAAAATGCCATAGTTTTGCATAAGATTCAAAGACCCCCTCATCCTCTAGGGGATCTCTGACCATTCTGGGCTTCTCTCTCTCTCTCTCTCTCTCTCTCTCTTTAATATTTTTAGTTGTAGATGGATATAATACCTTTATTTATTTATTTTTATGTGGTGCTGAGGATAAAACTCAGAGCCTCATGTGTGTGAGGCAAGAGCTCTACCACTGTGCCACAACCCCAGCCCCAAAGTTTTCTCTTTTGAAAAGTAAAAGTTCTTTCTAGTGACACTGAAAAAGGACAGCTTTATTATATTGATATTAAGACTTATAGGGCTGGGGATATAGCTCAATTGGTAGAGTGCTTGCCTCTTATGCACAAAGCCCTGGGTTCAATTCCCAGCACCACACACAAAACACACACACACACACACACACACACACAGAAAAGACTTGTAAAGCTACAATAATCATAATGGTATGATACTGATGAAAGCATATATATATATATATATATATATATATAATGGAACAAAATAATCCAGAAATAGACATACATATATATAGTCAATTTCTGGCAAAAGTTCAAAAGTAATTCAGTGGAGAAAGGAGAGTGTATTTTTTTATGCTTTTTATTTTTTGGTGCTGGGGATTGAACCCAGGGCCTTGTGCATGTGAAGCAAGCACTCTACCAACTGAGCTGTATCCCCAGCCTCTTTTTTATGCTTTTTTTAAAAAAATTTTTTTATTAGTACATTGTAGTTATGCATAATAGTGGGGTTCATTTTGACCCAGCCATACATGCATGGAATATAATTTGCTCCATTTCAACTCTAGAATGAAACTGATCACATTAAACTATATATACGTATGAGTATACCATAGTGAATTTCATATATATATATATATATATATATATATATATATATATATAGGCTGGGGTTGTGGTGCAGTGGTAGAGTGCTTGCCTAGCATGCGTAAGGCACTGGGTTCAATCCTCAGCACCATATAAATGTAAAATAAAGATATTGTGTTCACCTAAAACTTAAGAATATTTAAAAATATATATATATGTATACCATAATGAATTTCATATATATTTTTATATAAAGTTTCCATTTAAAAAACAGTAAATAAATAGGAAGATCAAGAGTTGAATAGAGGAAGGAGAACCAGGGTTTGGGAAAGAAGGAGACTCTTCTTTCCAGTTGTTCAGCTGGATATCGATTTGTAAGAAAGAAAGAGAGAGAAGGAAGGATGGAAGGAAAGAAAGAAAATAAAAATAAAAAACAAACCTTCATGGGCTGGGGATGTGGCTCAAGCAGTAGCGTGCTTGCCTGGTATCTGCAGGGTGCTGAGTTTGATCCTCAACACCACATAAAAATAAAATAAAGATATTGTGTCCACCTCAAACTAAAATAAATATTTTAAAAAACCCTTCAATCCATACCTCCTACCATATTTAATAAATATAAAAACTCTACAAGAAAACTTTTAAGAATGGTCTTTGTGACTTTTTGTAAGGCAAACTTCCGTTAGCTATAACTCTAAATGCTTGGTCCAGTAAAGCCATCTGAGCCTGGCATTTGCTTTGTTGGAAAATTTCTTTTTTTTTTAACAGAGGGATTAAAAAATATTTTTAGTTGTAGATGGACACAGTAACTTTATTTTGTTTATTTAGTTTTTTTATGTGGTGCTGGGGATTAAACCCAGGGCCTCACACATGCTAGGCTCTGAGCTACAACCCCAGTACCTCCCTGCTCCCATTTTTTTTAATTGGTCCTAGGGATTGACCCCCAGGTATGCTTAACCACTGAGCTACATCCCTAGCCCTCTTTATTTTTTTATTTTGAGAGAAGATCTAAGTTGCTTAGGGCCTCACTAAGTTGCTGAGGCTGGCATTGAAATTGTGATCCTTCTGCCTCATCCTCCCAAATTGCTAGGATTACAGGTGTGCATCACCATGCCTGGCTTTATAGTTGAATTTAAGACTTGTCCTTTATCTTTGGTTTTCAGTGGTTTGAATGTGATCATCTGGGTAGGGGTGTGTGTTTCTGTGTGTGTGTGTGTTTTCATCCTACATGGGATTCTTTGAGCTTCCTTGCATCTTCAATTTGATGTCTTTCATTAGTTTAGTAAATTTCTCAGTTGCTAACTCATCAGATACTATTTCTTCCAATTCTCCTTGTCTCATCTCTTTCTAGGATTTTAGGTACATGTATGTTAGAGCATTTGGTATTGTCCCACAGTTTTTAGGTGCTCTGTTCTGATTTACTAGTTTGTTTTTCACTCTTTTTTCTTCTTTGTATTTAGTTTGGTGATTTCTGTTGACCTATTTGCAAGTTTATTCTTTTTCTTAACTATGTCAAGTACATAGTTAGAAAGACATTCTTCATCTCTGTTACCATGTGTCTTTATTTCTGGTATTTCCATTTTACTTTTTCTTATACTTTCCATCTCTCTGCTAAAATTCCCCAACTATTCATGCATGTTGTCCACCTCTTCTGTAAGAGTATTTTATGTAACAATCATAGCAGTTTTCAGTCTCTCACAGTTCTACTCTCTGGGTAATCATTCATTCTTATCTGTTGATTTCTTCAACTATGGTGCGCTCAATCTTGAGTAGTGTTGAGAAGTGGTGCATGGAGCATGGTCGAAAGCTGATCCATGGTTGCAAGCTGATCCATACTCATATGTATACATAATTTGGTGTGATCAGTTTCATTCCAGAGTTGAAATTGAGGCTGTTGCATTAGTGTAGGTGAGAGAGGATGGTGGCTGAATCGGGGTGACAATCATGGGGAGGGAGAGTTCATAATGGATCTGAGAGAGCTTTGGGAGGTATGATCCATAAAACTTGGTGATTTATATTTTGTGGTTGGTAGGATGTAGGGAAGAATCCAGTGGGATTCTCAGTTCTCTGACTTTCAGCTACAACAACTTCATGGTTTTGTATTTGTATATTTAACCCTTTAGAATAGCAGAATAGCAGCTTAAGGGGCTGGGGGTGTAGCTCTATGGTAGAGTGCTTGCTTAGTGTGTGCAAGGTCCTATTTTGATCCCCATCGTCACTCACACACACATACACACACACACAGGATAGCAGCTTACACATAATGAATAGTGTTTTAGTCAGTTTTTTTGATACTGTAATGAAAGGATCCAACTAGAACAACTATAGAGGAGGAAAAGTTTATTTGGGGGCTCAGAGTTTCAGAGGTCTCAATCCACAGGTAGCAGGCTCCATTCCTTGGGGCTCTAGTGAGGCACAACATCATGGTGAAAGAGCGTAGTGGAGGAAAGCAGCTCACATGATGATCAGAAAGCAGAGAAAAAGAGAGAGAGAGAGAGAGATACATTCCACTTGCCAGATAGAAATATATTCCCCAAAGCTATGCCTCCAATGCCCACCTCCTTCAGCCACACCCCACTTGCCTTCAGTATTTACTCAATTAATCCCATCATGCGATTAATTTACTAATTGGGTTAAGGCTTTCATGACTGTCATTTCTTCTTTGAAATTTTTTGCATTGTTTCACACATGCACTTTTGGGGGACACCTCACATCCAAACCATAACAAATACCATGAGAGTGTTTAATCTAAATTTAAGTTCATATTATATGTTGAATTTCATTTATTCTGATATTCTCAATTTCTGAAACTTATGACAACATTAAGAATATATTTGCCTCAAAATCAGGTATGTTTTCATAATGAGATAAAAGAATCTTAAGAATTGCCCTCCAGAGTTGCTTCATTACTTATATTATTTGTGTCCACTTCATACGACCTATTAATGCATGCTTTCTTTCTACCAGCACTGTGATAGGCCCTGGGTAATATCAGTGAACAAGAGAGGTGTTATTTCTTCCCTAACACAACTTGCCTTTTGGTGACAAAGTTTATATTTTTATATTAAAATCTTTTTGTTAACAAGAATGATGGCATTGTTATTTTCTTAGATGGGGAAATATATAGTGGAATGTATATATTTATAAGTGTATAAAGTTGAGAGAGGAGATGAATCAAGGTATAAGTAATTTTAAGTTTGTGGTACAGGTAACATTAAACTTGAGATTTTCAAATGCATACATAATATAGATAGTTGAATATATGGATGTGGGAGAGAGAGAATTAATGTGGTAATTAATTCTGGAAAAATGGATTTGGAATCATTGGTCTATAGCAGGTTATTAAAACCATGGCGTGGATAGGTCTTTAAAGTAGAGAAAGTAGGAAGAGGGGCAAGAAGAAGGGAACTGAGACCGATTGCTAAGAATTATTAACATTTAAGAAGAAGAAACACCAGGAAAAGTTCCAAAGAAGTAGCAGAGATTAGGAAGGCTGGATGCAGTGACTGCAGGAGGCCGAGGTAAGAGAATCTCAAGTTCAATACCAGCCACAGCAATTTAGTGAGACCCTGTCTCAAAATCAAAAAGAAAAAGAGCTAGGGATGTGGCTCATGGATAAAGCTGCCTTGGGTTGTTTAATGTCCAGTACTGAAAAAAAAAAAAAAAAAAAAGTTTAGGAGAAAACCCTGGAGAGCATTTATGTTTTGTTAGTCAGAATTCCATTACTGTAACACATACCTGAGATAATAAATTTATAAAGAAAAAAGATTTATTTTGATTCACAGTTTTGGAGGTTACAGTCCATGGTCAGTTGGCCCCATAGCTTTTGGGCTTGTGGCTACATAGTGCCTCGTGACAGATAGCATGTGGCTGAGCAGAACTGTTCACCTCATGACTGGGATGCAAAAGTTGAGAGAGAAAGAGACTAGGGTCCCACAGCACCTTTGAAGGCACATACACAGTGACCTAAAACCTAACAGTAAGCCTACCTCTTAGAGTTTCCATCCCCGTAATAGTGCCAAGATGGAGAACCAAGCCTTTAACCCTTTGGCCTCTGAGGGATATTCTAGATCCAGACTGTAGCAGCATAGAATCAAGAATGTCAGAAGAGAGAGTCAGGAGAGGAGGGCTTGGCCCCAGTGTCAAGTGCTGCCTAGATACCACACTACACAGGACTGAAAAGGATCCTCTGGATTTATGCACCTTAGAAATGGTTAGTGACTTCAGTGAGAGAAGTTTCAACTGAGTGGTCGGGAGAGAAGCCAGAATGCAGCAAGCACAGCAAGCTTGTGATGAAAAGAAGGTGCAGAATCTGCTTGAGAAGTTTGACTGTGACAAAAGGAAGAAAAGGAAGGAAGGAAGGAAGGGAGGGAGGAGAAGGAGACTCAAAATGATATTTAAAACAGACAGAAAACAAACAAAAATTCCGTGTCTTTATAAAGGGACTTGAGAGGGCTGGGGTTGTGGCCCAGCGGTAGAGTGCTCATATAGCATGTGTGAGGCACTAGGTTCGATCCTCAGCACCTCATAAAAATAAATAAACAAAATAGAGATATTGTGTCCAACTGCAACTAAAAAATAAATATTAAAAAAAATAAAAGGACTTGAGAGCCACAGTGGCACATGTCTGTAGTCCTAGCTACTGAGGAGGCTGAGACTGGAGGATTAGTTGAGCCCAAGAGTTCAAGACCAGCCTGATAACAAAGCAAAATACCAACACACACACACACACACACACACACACACACACACCAGGTGGGGAGGGCTGAAGAGAGCTATATAAAAAGCCACATGTGCTGGTCTTCAGGTAGTATCATTTTGAGTGATTTATTTTTAAAAACCTTCAAGTCTCAACCTGTGTTGTAATCTTTCCATCCTTCCTCAGTTCTTTTATGTTAGCATCTATTCTCATTCCTCTGTTCATCCTCTTCCCTGGTTTCTATGTATAGTTTTCTATTCTGTTAGATACAGCATCCTCATCGTCTGACCTTTTATTAGTATAATGCCTTTTATTAGTCATTCAAATATGTTTTTCCCCCATATTTTTATTGGTGCATTATAATTATACATGGTAGTGAGATTCCTTGCTACACATTTATACATGTACCTGATATACATATATGTTTTTAATAAGCATCGTTTTAATTTTACCTTAGCAGTTTTTGTTTCCTCAACACAGAAATCACACACATTTTTTATTTTTATTTATTTCAGATTCTGAATCTATGCCTGAAACTAAAGAGTTTTTTTCAAAGCAGGAAGTTTATGAAGAGGAATCACCTGAAAGGGAACTGGTAATAGGAAGACTTGAAAAGGATGATTCCTGGGGCTCCACATTGTTAGAAGCCTGGGAATGTGAACACTCATTAGAAAGGCATCCAGGAAATCTGAAGAAAGATTTAAGGCCAGTCATAATCAAACGTAAGAGAAAAACTACAGAGCATTATCATGAAATTGGGGAGAGCTCCAACCCAATTAAACATCAGAAAGTTTACCGGGCGAAAAAGCGATGGGAATGCAATGTATGTGGGAAGTGCTTCAGCTACTGTTCAGCCTTTGTCTTACATCAGAGGATTCATACTGGAGAGAAGCCCTATGAGTGTAGTGAGTGTGGAAAGGCCTTTAGCCGGAGCTCATCACTTATTCAGCACCAGAGGACTCACACTGGAGAGAAGCCTTATGAGTGCAGTGAATGTGGGAAAGCCTTCAGTCACCGGTCTGCCCTTTTTCAACATCACATCATTCACACTGGAGAAAAGCCCTATGAGTGCAATGAGTGTGGGAAGGCCTTCAACCAAAGCACATACCTCATTCAGCACCACAGAATACACACTGGCGAGAAACCCTACAAGTGTAAGGAATGTGGAAAAGCTTTCAATGACACCTCTTCCCTCATTAAACATCAAAGGGTTCATACTGGAGAAAAACCCTATGACTGTAAAGAGTGTGGGAAAGCCTTCAGTGACCGGTCAGGTCTTATTCAACATCAGAGAACTCATACAGGGGAAAAGCCATATGAATGTAGTGAATGTGGAAAAGCATTTAGTTATTGCTCAGCTCTCATTCAACACCAAGGAACACACACTGGGGAGAAACCTTACAAATGTATCGAGTGTGGGAAAGCTTTCAGTGACCGGTCAGCTCTTGTGAGACATCAGAGAATTCATACTGGAGAGAGACCTTACAAATGTCAAGAATGTGAGAAAGCCTTCAGCCAGAGCTCATCCCTTACAAAGCACCTGAGAACACACACTGGAGAGAAACCATATAAATGCAACAATTGTGAGAAAGCCTTCAGCCAGAGTTCATCTCTTATTCAACACCAGAAAATTCACACAGGAGAAAAGTCCTACAAATGTAAGAAATGTGAGAAAACCTTCAGTGTCCGTTCAGCCTTCCATCAACATAAAAAAATTCATGATGGATAGAATGTACTAAATTCACAAAACATTCATTTTCTCCTGATTGTATAGATTTGTTTAAAATATTCTAGGGCATATTAAAAAACATAATGAGGCTTCTCTGGAGGCTGAGGCAGGAGGATCACGAATTTGGGGTGAGCCTCAGAAATTTAGCAAGAGACCCTAAGTCAAAATTTTAAAAAGGGATAGAGTTGTAGATTAGTGGTAGAGTGCTGTTGGGTTCAATCCTCAGTACCACAAACGAACAAAATACCAAAAAAAAAAAAAAAAATCAAAGAAAACAAACAAGGGCTGTGTTGCATAGTCACTAGCCCTCTTCCTTGAAATGTTGCTATGTATGGAAAAGACTAAGAAGCAGTAAATATGAATATCTATGATCTTTTTAAAGAACACTATTAGAGGAGCTGGGGATATAGCTCAGTTGGTAGAGTGCTTGCCTTGCATGTACAAGGTCCTGGGTTCAATCCCTGGCACCACACACACACACATACACACACAGCCGTTAGAAAATGGAACATCTGATCATGAGATGAATGCCATTACCTAGAAAGAGGACAGTGATTAGGTGGCAACAAGGCCAAGGTGTTTTTGGTACAGTTGGAGGATTGTTGGTTTTGCTGAGGCAGGGGACACATGAAGTTGTGAAAAGCTGAAGATACTTCCCATTAAAATTGTGGGGCATGCCAGGCATCTGTTAACCTAGCCATTTGGGAGGCTGACACCTCAGGAAGGAAGACCATGAGTTCAAGGCCAGCCTCAGCAACTTAGCAAGGCTGTGTGTCAAAATAAAAAAGGGTTGGGAAGTAGCTTAGGTGTAGAGTGCCCCAGTACCAAAAAAAAAAAAAAAAAAAAGTAAATGCTGGGGATGTGGCTCAGTGGTTGAGCACTCCTGAGTTCAATTCCTGGTACCCCCCACCTCCAAAAAAAGCAGATGGAAAAATCCTTACAAAAATTTGGAAAAGTGAAATTGCATGAGAAGTTTTAAAAGATACCTGATTTCCAGCTCCAGAGATGCAAATGAAACCTGATATGGTAGTACAACCTGGGCACCAGGAATTTTTAAACTCCTCAGGTAATTCCAGTAAATAGCCAAAATTAAGAACCATTGATTTAGACTGTGCACAAGGATTAGCTGCAGCTGAACAGATAACACTCAACATAAGCTCTTAAGATTCTTTTGCCTCCTTGTTTCTGTTTTTGCTTATTACATAACATCTCTGACCTGGTTTTTTGATCCCGTTACTTGGATCTTTTTTGTTCTGACTTTACACGGACTGACCTACTTGAAACTAACTTTGTTTCTGCCCCGGACTGACTATCGCCAATATGCTCCTTCAAACCTGTTTATAGCCCTCAACCACATCTGTGTATCAAATTGGGCTTGCTACACATGATCTAGTGGTGGCAAATGTTAACCATGAAAAACAGCTAAGAGGGATACCTACAAACTAGAAATCAGTAAAGAAGACAAAGTGACTGGAAGGGACTTTTGGAGTTAAAAATTTGATTCCAGCTACATAGTTTTTGTTGTAGCATTCCATGAAATTATAATAAAATTTAGTTGTATACACAAATGAATATAGGATTTCAAGGAAGGCATGTGGTAGGAAGGGCAAATCAAGAAAACAATGGAGCTAGACATGATGGTGCATGCCTGTAATCCCTGTGGCTAGGGAGGATTGCAAGTTCAAAGCCAGCCTTAGCAACTTAGGGAGACCCTAAACAACTGAGTGAGAACTTCTCTCTAAATAAAATACAAAATAGGGCCTGGGATGTGGCTCAGTGGTTGAGTACCCCTGAGTTCAATCCCCAGTACGAAAAAAATGAGAAGAAAAAAATGAAAAAGGTCAACATCTATTTTTATAATCTTACAGGAATGAGCAAAATCTTACTTCAAATTGATTTACTCACGCAGCTGCTCTGCTAGACATGGGGGAGTGGAGTAATTTTTTTTTTTTTTTTTTTTTTTGCGTGGCTCCTACACTCAGGGAACTTGCAGTTGGTTTCATTGTAAACCTACCATCATATTCCAACATCAGAGGGTGTGCTGGGTCCAGCATTCTGTCTCCCATGGTTTCTCTGCAGTGCAGGAAATTCTTTTTAAGCAGAATGTTTTTCTTCAACAATACTCATTATGTTCTCATTATTCCTTAACAGGACTGGGGATATAGCTTAGTTGGTAGAGTGCTTGCCTCACATGCACAAGGCCCAGGGTTCAATTCCCCAGCACCACAAAAAAAAAAAAAAAAAAAAAAATCAAGCCATAACAGTATAAGAGCAGACCCTGGAGTCCATAGACCTTAGTAAACCATGATGGTTCTATAACTTATATAGTTAGCATCATAATACTGTCAATTTAGGTAATAGATGGAAGTGTGTGTTTTGAAGGAGAATGATGAAATCCAGTACAGTGTAGATAGTGACGTGAGTATTAAAGAATTATCTCAATTGAAAAAGTTCTAATTTGGTAGAAGCCTCAAGGTAGGTGTGGAGGGTAACCTTAGTATTCTTCCACTGAAGCCCTTGGGGTGATTTTTATCTGTCCTAGATTATTTCATCATGTTTATTTTCCCTTAGATCCTCAAAGATTCAGCTTGCTTTCCTTTTTTAAAATTTGTTCTAATTAGTTATTCATGACAGTAGAATGCATTTTGATGCATCATATGTATATGGAGCATAATTTCTCATTCTTCTGGTTGCACATGATGCAGAATCACATAGGTCATGTAGTCATATGTTGCTTTTCTTTATACAGCCATCTTCTGGGAAGGTTTCCTTCCTCCATTGGAGTAGAATGATACCACCTTAGCTCCTCTACTCTCTTTGCTAACTGATTGTCAAAATAACTATGCAGGCCCCTTTTAAGTTTTATGGCTAAGTGGGAAAACAGTGTATGTTTTGTTGTATTTTGGGTACTGGAGACTGAACACAAGGGTGCTCAACCACTGAGCCACATCCCCAGCCTTTTTTACATTTTACTTAGAGACAGGGTCCCACTAAGTTGCTCAGGGCCTAGCTAAGTTGCTGAGGCAGTCTTTGAACTCATGATCTTCTGCTTTAGCCTTCTGAGTTGCTGGGATTATAGGCATGTGCCACTGTACCCGTCTTGTTAGTTTGTTTTAACAGTATCTTAGGTTCTTTAATGTACATGGTAATATGGCTCAAAACTGCAAAGAGCTTGGGGTTCCTATCATGAGGCCTGGACTAAACTGAGATCGACTCCAGAATGGACTGGTGGGATTCTCAGCTTCTGAGAAGTGCAAAAAGGGAAGCAAAATTGTTTAGCAGATGTTGTGCATTGCCTGGAAATGTCAGTTGCCTTTTTAAAAAAATTTTATTCTTTAGTACTTCAGACTAAACCCAGAGCCACTCCACCATTGAGCTACATCTTTAGCCTTTTTTATTTTGAGACAAGGTCTCACTGAATTGCTGAGGCTGGCCTCAGGCTTGCAATCCTCCTGTCCCAGCCTCCTGAGTTGCTGGAATTACAGGTGTACACCAGCACACCTGTCTGTCTCTCTTTTTTCATTTCAGTGGTACTGGAGAACCCAGGGGTGCTCCATCACTGAACCACATTCCCAGCCCGTTTTGATTTTTATTTTGAGATAGGGTTTCATTAAATTGCCCAGTTTGGCCTTTAACTCATGATCTTCTTCCTTCAGCCTTGTGAGCTGCTGGGAGTATGGGTGTTTGCCACTATGCCTGACTTGTCAGCTGCCTTTCTATACTCATTTAAAATGTCTTCATATGCCAAGAATATTCACATTCTCTAAAAGGGGAAGTTACGGCTCCAAGGGTTCTACAGTTCACATAAGATTGCATAGCTAGTAAATGACAAGATAAGATTGGCTCCCAGGCTTGACTCTTCTCATTCCCTTTGCAGGATGGATTATCTGGCTTCCCTGATTATGCCCAGAGCTACCTCCATGCCATGGAAGCCCCTAGCTGGCAAAGATATCGATAACTTCTGATCAGGACCATGAAAATTATTATATTATATTATAGGTGACAGAATTTAAGTATCAATTGGTCAAGGCTAAGAAAACAACCTGAGCAAATATAAACACCAGAAATAGAAATTGAAAAACCAAGCGTAGTTTATCTAGAGGCAAAGCAAATGGAATGTCAGTGTCTATGTCAATGGAATGTGGACCTCATAGTCTTTTAGAAGAAATCTCTGCTTGGAATATAAGGGCAACAACAGAAGATAAATGCCAGATTGAGGCAGATTTGGCCTTTGATAGCATACTAGGAAATTAGAAGAATACAAACAGAAATGTTAATACAATATACAGGGGATCTGGTAGCGTTGGTCCATAGTATCAGGGAGCTCCTAGGTATCCCTAGGCACTTTTCGTTAAGAGATGAGGGCGCGAGGGTTGCAATGTCAGCCACTGAGAGGCTGGTCTGAAACACAGGGTAATAATGACAGCCAGAATATATCAACAGCTTACTGTGTACCCAATACCATTGTACCACTTCACGTATGTAAACTCATTTATTCTCACAAAAATATACAAGTTTTCTGGGTGCAGTGCCATACACCTGTAATCCCAGTAGCTTGGGAGGCCGAGGCATGAGGATCTTGAGTTCAAGTCCAGTCTCAGCAACTTAGCAAGACCCTAAGCAATTCAGTGAGACCCTGGCTATAAATAAAATGTCAAAACAGCTGGGAATGTGGTTCAGTGGTGAAAGTACCCCTGGGTTCAATCCCTGGTACCAAAAAAATTTACAAATTAGATACCTTTATCACCTTTATTTTACAGATGAAGAAATTGAGGCTGACATGCAAAACTTGTTTTGTATGGACATATACAAAAGTTGATTGTTCATAGAATGGCTAAGACTTATAAAAATAGTATAGAAATGAAGAAAGAGACAACTCATGTAGATTTCTTATATTTTCTTTCCAGCTGTTTGTTCCACAGAACATCGGGATCATTGTACTGTTGTAGTGATGATGATTTTCTGTGTGTGGCAGGGAGGATATATAGTGTTAGCTGAGCACATCTATCCAGATTAAGGTAGTATAGCTCTAGAGAGATTTGTAACTTTGATCTATCACTGTGTCTGCTTTTGGAAACTTTGTAATTACCAGGAGAGTAAATATTTATCCTTTGACCAACTGAAGGGATCATTGTTACTAGTGAGCCATGATTTTGCCTTCAAACCTAAAAATATGACTAGTCAAAGAACCAAACAAAAAACAAAACAAAACATGGGGATGGGGTTGTGGCTCAGTTGTAGAGCATTTGCCTAGCATGTGTGAAGCACTGGGTTCAATTCTCAGCACCATATAAACAAATAAAAGTAAAAAACAAACATTTTTAAAAAATTAACACTAAGAAAGAGGAACTTTTTCAAGGTCACGGAATCAAGAATAGGGTGAAATATTTGGATTTGAGCAACGATGGGGACTAAATGTAACCATATAACCCAAATGTGTGGATAGCCTCCAGAGGGCTTTAGGGGAGGGAAATATGTCAGGGATTTGCCTTTATTTCTTCCTGGGAAAGGAACCACTTTTGGCTACTAGGAGAGGGGTTCAGTAGGAGGTATGACAGTAGGTCACATAAATTGTAGAACCCAATAAGAGATTTTGGAGGAGATATATATCTCCTATCTACTATCCATTTATAGAATACCTTAGCAACAAAGAACAAAACAGCCTCCACTTGATCTCCTCGTCTAGCCAAATAGTTCTAGAGGTATTGCTATTCTTCTGGCTTATGCCTTTATCTGCTCGACCAAGAAGACTCTTAGATTTCTGGACAATTCTAACAGAAAATTCTCCCTAATACTGTATGTACGGTTTTCTCTATAATGTCCACTTACTGTTCTTGGCTCTGCCCTCTGATGCCAAACGACAAATCATCCTTCCACGTGAAAAAAATCTTTTTTTATTTTGATAGTGGGTGACTAGGGATTGAACCAGGGGCACTTTAGCGCTGAGCCCTTTTTTATTCTGAGATAGGGTCTTGCTAAGTTACTGAAAGCCTTGCTGAGTTGCTGAGGTTGGCCTCCAAAATTGCAATCCTTCTGCCTCAGGCTCCCAAGTTGCTGGGTTTTTAGGCATGCACACTGTGCCGGCATCCCTCTTCTTCCCCTGGTACTGGGATTGAAGGCAGAGGTGCTCTACCGCTGAGCAACTTCCCAGCTCTTTTTAAATTTCGAGACAAGTTCTCACTAAATTGCCCAGGCTGATTTGGAATTTGCAGTCCTCCTGCCTTATTCTCCAGAGTCTCTGTAGTTTCAGGTGTGTGCCACCATGTCCAGCCCACATGAGAAATCATTAAACATTTAAGGACTGATATGCTGATTCCCCTAAATATCTCCTCAGAGGAAATGTCTCCAGTTCCATAACCATCATTTGTGTAGTCCTTTGTAAAAGCCAATTAGCAAGGTATAATTCATAAAAATTAGATTAATAGATTAATGATATCAGTTGCTATTTTGATCAGATGCTTTAATTCTTCTCTTGGTTATTATTATTTAACTCAGTACTGAGGAATTTTTCAATGTTCCTTTAAATTGATTGAAATATTCCAGATGTAGTGTTATAAATTTAAAAATTAATATGATTATTAAATATTATAAGTATAATAAATGTGGTATATTAAAACATTAATACCTTAACTAATAAAAATTATTTAATGTGTATTAGAAATCTAGTTCTTTACCATTTGTGTTTGTGGGATTGATTTAAACTAAGTCATGTTATTGGTTTTGGTGGATAACTGAATACTTTTTGTCTCACCTGTGTCTGTGTCAAATTCTAGACTGACCTTCATTATATATCAATTTATAATCACCTACTTCTTTCAAGATGCCTCTATGAATACAGAAAAGTTCTACTTGTAGCTCTGATCAGCTACATGATAGCATAGGCTAGTTAATCATTAATAACTATATTGATTAAAAAAGGTTTTTTTAATTGTAGATGGACACAATGCCTTTATTTAATTTATTTTTATATGGTGCCTCACACATGCTAGGCAAGTGCTCCACCACTGAGCTATAACCTCAGCTCACTACATTGATATTTTGCTTCTAATACCAATTATTATTTCTTTAGGGACATCTCTGTCCTGTCTGATCATAAATGGTTACTTCTGCTGATTGGGCAAAGATTAAGAATCTTATGTTTATAAATCTTAGCCCAGGTGCTCTAGAAGTATGTTCTGGTTGTCAGAGATCAGCTGATATATGCTGCCTTCTGGATGGGAGGCAGAAAATCCACAGGAGATATTGGCTTGGGTGTGTGGCTCAGTACAGCACTTGCCTGGCGTGTGTGAAGCCATGGGTTCAGGCCACAGCAGCAAAACAAAACTTTAGGTTAGCATTGTTCATGCTCAGGAAAGGAGATGAAGTCTCTGATTTTATGTTTCCTGTTCTAGGTTTTATCAGGATTAGACTAGGCCAGAATTTGTGCATGTCCAGAGTATCTGCATGCAATTTTTAATGCCCACGGTGTTCCAGGGATTATGTCCTATTCTTCCTCTAAGCATAGGAACTTTCCCCATATTGTAGAGGCTGAATTTACTGAGACTCATTCATCATCTCTCAGTAAGGAGTAAACTCAAGGTCTGAGATATATTCTACAATTTGTAACTGGAAAGTATGAGTTTGAAAGAATTGGAAGTATAGGTTTCCATATAAAGAAAGCATGCTTTGCAGACACACACCCAACTTTTGTGACATCTTGTTCTCTTGGCTAATGTAGAACATGAATTCCCCTGACATCTATAATGGTTCCATCCTCCTGTTTCCTTAAAGTATATAAACTAAAATTTTGCTCTAGAGTGTTTATAATGATTTTTTCTTTTTTTCTTTCTTTATTTTTTTATTTTTATTTTTTGGTAAACTACCCTCCAGCACCAAATGGTTCCAATAACTGGTGGTAAGAATTGGTTTGTAATGGGAGGGTATAAGACTGGAGAGATTTGAGAGTAGCCTGTGGATGTGGTTTCTATCCAAATGTAATTTCCCCCATAGCCTTACTGTATAATGCAGACTCAAATTCAATTAATAAAGAGGCTACTGATAGAGATTCTAGCATTTGTGGTCTAAGAAAAGATAATACATTGATCAAGAAGTCAAGTATAAGACAGAGACGGGGAAGGGAGATATTGAGGAATGGAATCCAAGAGGGTAGCCTAGTTACCATCCAAGACTTTTATGTTCACATGAAGAATAACATGATAGTAGGGTAAGAGATATTTTTCAACAGAGCTCCTAGGAGAGTTCAAGCTTCCAGTAGTAATGGAATAGTTCATTCAGACTAACATCCATAGCAATTACTACGCAACCTGGATAATCTCTTGAGGTGGGCACAACCACTTAAAGGCATCCCAGAATAAACAAAAGAAAGCCCAAACTAGAAGGATGTCAATAATTGAAAGATGAGAAATGCACTAAGTGGAATTTTGTGCTTATGAATTTTTGCGTAAAACGAAACCTCCCAGTATCTGTGACATGAGGTAGCAGAAAACTGAAGTCTCATTGACCAGAAGGGTAAGAGGACAGAACTGAAACCTGGCAGAACAGCTAGAAAACCAATGAGGGTCATCCTGGGAAGAGGGAGATTCAGAGGGGGAAAGTCTCTAAACTGCATATGAAATCTGTCCTGATGTATATTGGTCACTGGACTATGCAAGCTGGGGTTGGGGAGACTCCAGAGGATGTCAGGAAAACGGCCGTTGGATGTAAAAGAACTGAATGAATATTTCTCCTGCCACAGGAGAAATAGAATTAGTGTGAATATAGCCAAATTAATTTTCTGCTAGAACACAAATCAGTACTCTCCAGATTATAACTCAATCCAGAGTCTCTACAATGTGAAATTAATAATGCCCAGCATACAATAAAAAATCTAAATATACAAAGAAACAGGAAAATATGACCTATTTCAAAGGGAAAAAATCCATCAATTAAACTGACTTTAAAATGTTGGAACAAGCAGATAAAAACTTTCAAACAACTATTATAAAAAATAAGATGTCCAAAGATTTGAAGGAAAATATTCTCATAATGAATGGCCAGAAGAGTAATCTCAGCCAAAAAAATTACTATAGCAAAAGAAGCTGGTGACCCACACCTATAATCCCAGGTAATTGGGAAGTTGAGGCAGGAGGATTGCAAGTTCAAGGTCAGCCTGGTCAAGTTAGTGAGATCCTGTCATGAAATAAAAAATTAAGAGAACTGGAGATGTGGCTCAGTGGTAGAGTGATCCTGTATTCAATCTCCAGTAACACACACACTGTGCACGCACAGACAGGAACCACATGAAAATGTAAGAACTGAAAGATAAAATGTCTGAGAATATTCTCCACTACAATTGACTTCCAGTAGAGGTCAATAAAATATGACAAGAAGCTGGATATGTTGGCTCATGTCTGTAATCCCAGCTTCTCACGAGGCTGAAGCAGGAGGAACACAAGTTCAAGGCCAACCACAGCAACTTAGTGAGACCCTGGTTCAAAATAATAAAAAAAATCTGGTGATGTGGCTTAGTGGTAAAGTGACCCTGGGTTCAATCCCCAGTCCCACAAAATTTTTAAAATTAAAAAACAAAGATAGGAAACTCCCAAATATTTGAAAATTAAATGTAATTAATTAATCTATAATCAATCCATGGGTTGAATAAAAAATGTAAAAGGAAAATTTGAAAATATCAAAAATTTTTTTTTAGTTTGAGTTGGACACTATTTATTTATTTATTTTTATGTGATGCTGAGGATTGAACCCAGGGCCCCGCATGTGCTTGGTGAGCACTCTACCACTGAGCCACAATCCTAGCCCTTGAAAATAGTTTTGATTGGATGATGTGAAAAATACATCCAGTTCAGAACATTTTCTAATTGTATGCAAGATGCAGTGAGGCAGTGCTTAGAAGGGAATGTAAAGCTTTAAATGATGATGTTAGAAAAGAAGAGGAGTGTAAAATCCATGATCTAAGTTTCTACCATATGGAGATAGAAAAAGATACCAATCCAAGCCAAAATGAATGGAAGGAAATAATAGAGGGAATAAATTAAAAGCACAAATAAATAGAAAAAGTTAATAAAAGCCAAAAGATGCCTCTTTGAAAATATTAATATTGATTATTATTATTAATTATATTATTATTATATATTATTAATTATATTATTAATATTGATGAACATTGGCATGGTTTCTGAAGGAAAACAACAACAACAAAAAACAACCCCAAACTGTCAAAATTAAAAACAAGCCCAGGCAGTGATGCATGCCTGTACTCCCAGGGACTGAGACTAGGAAAGAGAAAGAGATAAGGCTAGAGGTTTGCAAATTCAAGGGAAGTATGGGCAATTTAGACCCTGTGTCAAAATAAAATTATAAAAAGGGGCAAGGGTTATAACTCAGTGGTAGAGTGCTCCTGGTTTAATACCAGTACTGCAAAAAAAAAAAAAGTTACTACTTTTTCTAAGAATTCAACTGCAACATGGGAATATTATGAACATCTTTATGTCAGTAGATTTGATAACATTAGTTAATAAACAATGCCAATTTTAGGGTGGGTTGTGGCTCAGAGGTAGAGCATGCGCCTAGCATGTGTGAGGCACTGGGTTCAATCCTCAGCACCCACCACATAAAATAAAATAAAGACATTGTGTCTACCTATAACTAAAAAATAAATAAATAAAAAAGAATGCCAATTTTTAATAGTCTTTCAGGAAAGAATGTGTTTTGTGAGACCAGATTCACTCTCCTAGCAAAACCTGATAAAAGCATTTGCTCTTTTCTCCCATTTCTTAAAAAGAATATTAAACCCTATGCCTCCAAAAGGTAGATGCAAGCCAGGCATGGTAGCACACACCTGTAATCCCAGTAATTTAGAGGCTGAGGCAAGAGAATCACAAGTTCAAGTTCAGCCTTAACAACTTAGCAAGTATGAAAAGAAAAAAAAGAGAAAAAAAATCCTTATGAAAAATTGGGAAAATGAATCCCAGAAATATATAAAAGGGAAAATACATCATTATAAAATGAGAGCATACCAAAAATGCAAGGATGGCTTAACTGTTGAGTATCAATTGATATAACTAACCACATTAAAAGGATGCAGGAGGGGGCTGGGGATATAGCTCAGTTGGTAGAGTGCTTGCCTCAAATGCACAAGGCACTGGGTTCAATCCCCAGCAGTACAAAAAGAGGGAAAAAAAAGATACAGGAGGAAAAAAACCATTAATAGATGCATAAAAGCACTCAAAACTATTCAGCATTAAAATGCTCAGCAAAATTCAGGAATAAAAGAAACCTTCCACAATCTGAATAAAGACAGCTGTGCACACTTCACATAACATAATACTTAAAGATGAAATAGTAACTGATTTTCCTATAAGATTAGGCACAAAGATCTCCACTTTCACTATTTTCATTCATCATTATATTGGCAGACTGGGAAATAAAGACAGAAAACAAGAAAATGGCAAAAATCTAAGAGGCAGAAATAAAACTGTCTCCATTTGCAGAGAACATGGTTACCTGGAAAATCTTAAGAAATCTACTAAGTATTTGAATTAATCTGTATATCTATGGATATCAGAGGACCAATTCCACTTCTATTAACCAGATCAAACACCTGGAAATGAAAAATTTTAAAAAACCCACTTACAATGAATAATACTTTGGAATAAGTTTATCAAGTATATGCAAGAACTCTACACTAAAAATTACTGGGCTGAGGTTGTAGCTCAGTTGTAGAGCACTTGCCTGGCACATGTGAGGTACCGGATTCCATCCTCAGCACCATATACAAATAAATAAATAAAACAAAGGTATTGTGTCCATCTACAAATAAAAAAATATATAAACATTACTATTTATTTTTTGAAAAAATATTTTGTTAGCTGTAGATAAACACAATAGCTTTATTTATTTATTTATTTTTATGTGGTGTTGAGGATTGAACTGAGTGCCCAATAGTGCAAGGTAAGCTTTTTGCCACTGAGCCACAATCCCAGCCCCTAAGTGTTTCTTAGAGAACACTGAAATGTCCTAAATAGAAACATACTATATTTATGGATTGGAAGCCTCAACATTTGTCAAGAAGTCTCTCCCGGCAAATGAATCTATAGTGTCAAAATAATCCCAATAATAATTTAAGCAGGTTGACAAGATGATTCTGAAACATACAGAAATGCAATAGTTCCAAATAAGCCTAAATAATCTTCAAAAAGAAGAGCAACATTGGAGGACTTAACTCTACCTGATTATAAAAATTAGTATATAGTTATGATAATTAAGAGTGCAGTATTAGTTCAGTCTAAATAAATAATCAATGAAACAGGACACAATCCTGAAATAGACCCACACATTTATGTGGTTAATTGATTTTTAACAAAGGTATAAAAACATCAGAAGGTTCTTAAAAATGAATTTTTTCCTCTATTTCATACTAACTTATAGGCAAAATTAATTAGAGATGGATGAGTCTTAAATGTAAAAAGTGAACTATAAAGCACCAAAGCATCTAGAAGAAAAATTGATTTCAGCCTTGTAAGCAGAATGCTAAATGAGTCCACTTGAACGTCTGTCCTACAAAAGAGAGAATAAATTTGTGGTGTTTTTAGCTGCTAAATTTGTGATAATTTGTTATGGCAACAATAGAAAACACATACATGAATCATAGTGAAAAATTAGAATTATTATTGTCTACATTAGTAGGAATTGAATGGGAAGGGACACTGCGGTGTTTTCTGGAATGAGGAAAATATATCTTGATATGAGTGTGAGTTATATGGATGTATCCTCCTGTTGAGAGCTATCAAATAGGGTGCAGTGGCCCACACCTGTAATCCCAGCAATTTAAGAGGTTAAGGCAGGAAGACTGTGAGTTTGCAGCCAGCCTCAGCAACTTAGCAAGAGCCTGTCTTAAACCAAAAATTGTGGATATTAGTTTTTGTAAATGCTACCTTATCAAAACCCATATAAATTAATGCTGAACTATCTTTAATACACTTTTTCTTTTTTGGTCCCAGGGATTGAACGCAGGGGTGCTTAATCACTGAGCCACATCCCCAGCCTTTTAAAATATTTTATTTAGAGACAGGGTCTTGCTGAGTTGCTTAGGGCCTTGCTAAATTGCTGAGGCTGGCTTTGTACTTGTGATCTTCCTGCCTCAGTATCCCCAACCGCTAGGATTATAGGCAACAATAATTTGTTATGGCAACAATAGAAAACTCATTAATGATTACAGGCGTGCATCATTAAGAGTGATACGGTTAACAACTTGGAAACTTATATGAACATTAAGTACATTAGTTAGAATAAGATCAGAGAAGAAGAACCACTAAGGAATTTATAACTGGAAACTAGATAAGCAATATAAATCTGTTGACATTGCTTTGGTGCTAGGCCTTAAGTCAGCTAGGCTGACAGTTGATAAGAGAAGATGGATGTGGAGTGGAGAAGAACAAGGACAAAGTGAATCTCGCATCTATCTCTTGCTAGACCCACATTGTATTCTCACCACTTCCAAATTCCTACATTGATGACACAGGTAACCTAAAAAAATGAACGCCATGCTTCGCTATAAAGCTGCAAATGAACCTGACTCAGGATTCAGAAAAGTTTAAGGAGATCCTATAAGATCTAGAGGAGCTGGATTTCAGCTTCTACCCTTCTCCTAAATTTGGTGAAAGCTAAAGCCGCTGCTCACTGGGCTGCAGCCCGATGTCAACAAGGAGCCCCGGATAATGACGTGCCTGAACTTCAACAGCTATTATCTTACACTCAACTTCTTTTATTTTTTCCTTAAACCCAACTTCTAAGCTCAAATATGCTTGACGCTCGATGTCTCATGCAAATTTATGTGGCCAATCCTAAAATTAAGCAGTTTGGCAATTCTGAAAAATGAAGTTTTCAGCCAGGCGTGGTTTGCACCCTTTATTCTTGTAATCCCAGGTACTCCAAAGGCTGAGGCAGGAGGATCCCAAGTTCGAGCCAGTCTCAGCAATTTAGCGAGACCCTCGGTAACTTAGGAAGATTCTGTTTCCAGAATAAAAAGAACTAGGGATTCAGCTCCGTTGTAAAACGTCCCTGGGTTCCCCAGACCAAAAAGATACCCAGGAGGACGTAGGACCCAGCCACCCTGCGGGATCAAAGAAGCCGAAAACCCGCTGCGGGACGCCGGTGAGAGTCAGATGAAGTGGGGCGGGGCCTTGCGGTCACATGACAGAATTGGGGCTTCTTCTGCTGTTGATTGGTCCTGGCAAACGCAAGGCCGCCGCGCTCCTGTCCCGACCAGCGAGCTGCAAACCGCAGTCCTAGAATGGACGCTGGTAGGGACTCGGAGCCCGGCCCGTGCGCGTGGGTGGGCGAAATCGCCCAGGACGTTCCTGAGGCCGGGTCAGGGGACCTTTTTCTCTGGTGGGGCTCGCCAAGGGAGGGGACTCCTGGTCGAGCCTGGGAACCCGAAGAGACGGAGCCCAGGTTTCATGGCCGTAGCAGGTGGTCCCAGTGCACCGCGCCGAGGACTTCCTGGAGGAGGCGGCGGGGCGGAATGTCGGAGGAGCGGAGGTTTGAGAGAAACTAGTGTGAGGAGAGCTATGGGTGCCGCTGAGCGAAGACCCCCCGGCCGTCAGGGAAAGCTCCAGGGCGTTTGCGCAGGGTCTCTGACGTCTGTGGCGCTAGCTTTCAGCAGCTTTCCTGCAGAAAAGGAGGAACAAAATCCGATGAATGACTGCTTCTTGCACACAGTGGTTTTCTTATGGGGAAAAGCGAAACGCGATTTTAAATCCAAGGTGCTCACATCATGATGCAGTAGCATTTTAGAGTCTGCCCAAAGTTAACACCAGCTCAAAGTACATTGTGCACACAAAGGAACAGTATGCGGTCGCAGCTTCTGAAGCATCAACGAGCAGGTGCAGTGATCTTGTTGTTAAGTGGCTGTTACAAACTTGCACCGCTTAGGGCAGGTAGAGACGTGCGTAAGCCTACCCTCTGAAGTTGATTGATTGGCCTTTTCATGCGGACAAGAAAAGCGGGTTTTGTTCATGTAGTGCTAGCATCTTGGGGAAATCAGGGTGATTCTAAGTTTTGGTTCCGTGGTGTTTGGGTGGTTGGCGGAGGATTGTACGCAAACCGTGCGTCTATTTGATTTTTCTTGAGCACCGTCTTCACAGTAGCTATTCAACAAATGCAGTTTAGATGATGCAAGGGAGGAGGCCTCTGTCCCAGTCTTGGAGCCACAGATCAGGACAGTTTTTGAAATGACTTTGTTTAAGGGGATGGGGAAAGGGCGAGGGTTTGTGTGGGGGTCTTCCAAACAACGCTTTTAGGGTACGTGGGCTGTATGAGCGGCTTGAAGATGAATTTATATCGTCACCTGTGGTGAGCAGGCTAGTCTGTTATTTCTGTTGTGTAGTCCTCAGTTCCTTCTAGCAAATCACTACACTAGCGGGAATGTGGGTATCCCCAATATCGCCATGGTTGGCTTCCCCTTCCCCAATTTCTGATGTTTTTCCAGTTTCGCTTGAAATTGACTTTAAGTAACAAAGTGATAATCATGGATGCCAACTCACCCAGCACAAGGGGGAATTTTATTGACCAATTCATTTTCTTTCTCTTTTTCTTTTGTGATAAGGATAGAAAGTTTTTTCCCCCCTCACTATATTTATTTTAGCATTTGTATGCTGGCACAGGTGGTTTTAGTGGCTAGAGTTGGCAGTGGGAACGTGATTGGCAATACATAACTACATGTAGAAAAACAAATACAAATATGATGTTACCAGATGTGATCTTACTGCCTAAAGAGCTAGATGGCTAGATTTGGTGAAGAGTCCACTGATGGTTCAAGTGACTAAAGAAAAAAAAATGATAAAACCTATTTCTTATCTAAGTGTACTTATTTGATGAAAGTAACATTAAGTTCACTGAGGAATTCTGAAAATAGAAAAAAAAAACACAAAAAATTAGAATTATCTGTATCCCTGAGAGTAACAATACTGAATTATGATTCAATATTGAGCAAACAATATTGAATACTATAATAGCCTCGTTGTTTATATGCAGCCTGGACTCTTCAATGATCTCCTGAAATTGTTTGTGTGATGTGGAAGTAAATAAATATCACTCAAATGAGAGGAAGCAATGGCTCTTTATTCAGAGCTTCCTCCAACAAGGAAGTCAACCACTAGCACTGAGGTGGGCAGAGCCCCAAAGACAGCAGAGGAAAGCTTTATAGTGGGGGAAAAAAAGAATGCTCAAATAGCCTTGTTTGGGTTTTTTATCTTGGGGATGCTGGTTTAATCTCTGGGGGAATTAATAAAGAAATAATACCAAAATAAATAAATACACATACATACACACACAGAGCAAACATTTTCCTAGGTTAGTAAGGGAACACATGGATTTTTAATATCTGCCTAATACTTAGAACTTCATTGTATTAACATGCTATACTTTATTTATATTCAGTCTCTCTATTAAACACAGTTAATTTGCAGTTTTACACTGCTGGAGCACTATGTCAAACATCTCTGGTATGTTCATCTTTTCCCTAATATTTCTTTAGGGTGTATTTCTTTTCTTTCTTTCTTTTTAGAGAGAGAGAGAGAGAGAGAGAGAGAGAGAGAGAGAGAGAGAATTTTTTAATATTTATTTTTTAGTTTTCGGTGGACACAACATTTTTTATTTTTATGTGGTGCTGAGGATCGAACCCAGTGCCCTGCGCATGCCAGGCAAGTGCGTTACCGCTTGAGCCACATCCCCAGCCCCCCCTTAGGGTGTATTTCTAAGAGTGAATTATTGCTATCTAAGGGCATGAATGTTGTTCAGGCTTTCAATAAAGATTGCCAGTCTTCACAAAGATTGCATCAATTTATGTTCTCATTAGCACTTTTAATTATTATTATTATTTCTGCTTGTCATTGTGGACTCAGAGGGGCGAGACTGAGCCCTGGGACATCTCTCTGCAGTTTATTAACAGCCACCTCCCATTTACTTCTCCATGAGTAGGATCTTGGTTTCCCAAACCTGAGGTGATCTGTCAGCTGGAAAACTGGGACGAGCCATGGATCTGGGATCTGCAGAGTGCTGGGATCAGGAAAGCTTCTAGTGGTGCTTGCCCAGGTGGGTGAGGAGGATGCCCAGGCAAGAGAAGTCGTGAAGAGAAAGGGAAGGCATGCTAAAGAGCTGCTTCTGTGTGCCAAATGTGCAGCATATATTATACCCACTTCCTCATTGCTACTGCCCTGGGAAGGTGGTAGGATGATCATCACCCACCTCTTCCAGATAAAGAAATGGGAAAGGGAAGATGTCTCTCACATAGTGAGAAGGTTCACAGTTGAGATTTGAATTCCAAGTCTGAGAAGCTCATCCTCTTTCTGCTGCAATATGGAATGGCTTCTCTGAAACAGCTGCCTGGTGTTTGCTAAATGGCAGCTCTCATGCTCCTCCCAGAGACCTTCATCCCACCCCTCTGATCCATTCCCCATACCGTTTCCTGCTCTCTTGCTGTAGTATTGTTTTCCTATTCCCTCAGTATTTCTTGATACATCTCCTCTTTCTGCTTCTGCCCTCTGCTTCAAGCTTTCTCACTCTCAACATTGTTGCCATTTTTAGCTGGTCAGTTCTTTGTGGAAGGCTGCTTGTTAAGCAGTGTCCCTGGTCTCTATCCACTGCATGCTAATTATAGCACCTACCCCTTTTGTGACAACCAAAGAGGCTCCAGATGGAGTTCCATCCAGAAGTATTAAAAGCATGCCTATCTAGAATATAAGGTGCTGCCTCTCAAAACTACATTTATGAGACACTACTGAGTACCCATAACGTTGCTTTCTGTCTTCTTGATGGACTTTTTTTTTCTTTTTGATGGTACCGGAGATTGAACCCAGGGCTTTGTGCATGCAAGGCAAGCATTTTATCAGCTGAGCTATAGCCCCAGTTCATGATGGACTTTTTTGTTCACACATTCTTTGGCATATACTTATGTGTTTTTAGTGGGTCTGCTGATACCAAGAGCTCTTTCTAACAGCAGAGTCCTATGGAATTTAGAATTTTGTCCTCTTGGGTAGAATGACGTAAACAAATGAGCACTTCTCAGCATCATTTGCTTGTCTATTATCCCAAACAGTTGGCTGCTTTTCCTTCTGTCTCTTCAGTGGTAGAAAACATCATTTGTCTTTCCTTGTATTTGGCTAGGTCCCGGAGCCAGTTACAAGATGAAAAAGCCAACTACACAGCAAAAAATTTCTGAAGATTTAGAGTCGTATGAGCCATCACTGGTAATGCAGGAAATAACCAAGAAATTTTCAGAAAAGTTATATAGATGTAATGAAGTTGTGGACAGTAGCAAGCTTGTACTCCCCAGTAGTAGCAATGGATATTAAGACTTTCTTGAAAACCTGGATCTTATTCAACATCAGAATGCTCGAACATGGAAGAAACAGGGCAGATGTGGGAAACTCAACCCAAGGTCATTATTTTTGAGGTATGAGCATATTCTTAAAAGAGCAAAGCCTTATGAATGATGTGGAAAAAACATTAGGCATCAGGCAAATTTTGATAAACAGCAAAGAATTCACTTTTTAGAGAATCCCTTTGAATGTTCCATATGTGGACAAACCTTCAAACAACGGTCAACTCTTATTGACCATAAACAAAGTCACCTGCAAAAAAACCCACGTAACTTGTCATGACTTGGAAAGTGTTTCCGTCAGCTTGCATATCTTGTTGAACACATGAGGATTCATACCAAAGAAAAACCCTATAAATGTGGAGAATGTGAAAAAACTTTTAGCTAGAATTCAATCCTTATTCGACATCAGTTAATCCATAGTGGAGAAAAGCCACATAAAAGCCTTGAATGTGGAAAAGCCTTTAGTCGGTTTTCCACCCTTAGGAGCCATCAACAGATTCATAGTAAACAAAACTCTGTAAGTGCAGTGAATGTGGATCTCCTTCAGCACCAGAGAATCCATACCAAGGAGGCATTCTTTGAATGTACAGAATGTGGAAAAACTTTTAGTTTCAAGACAAATCTTAATCAACATGAGATCATTCACACTGGAAAGAGACCTTATAGATGTGACATGTGTGGTAAATCTTTCATTTGGCGAATAAGTTTTATTAAGCATCAGGGTACACACAAAGGACAGGGATATACATGATGGTATCAGAAGAGCTGTCATTTAAAGACCAGAACTTATCATCTACTGCAAGTATATATAACAAGTTTCATGAAAAGTAATAAACAGAACTGAAGTGGTTTTCCTATGTGTACCTTATTTTCCTGCTGTAGCCATGATTTACAGCCAGGCATAGTGGTGCATGCCTATAATCCCAGCAGCTAGGGAGTCTGAGGCTGGAGAATTGCAGGTTTAAAGCCAGCCATGGCAACATAGCAAGGCCCTAAGAAACTTAGTGAGACCCTGACTCAAACTAAAAAAAAAAAAAAAAATGTAGCAGAGTTGGGGCCCAGCTCAGGATGTGTTAAGTTTACTTACTTAGCATGTGTGGGGCTGTAGGTTCAATCCCCAGCACTAAAAAAAAAAAAAAAAAGCTAAAGTTTATAATCTATAAAAAATTAGCAGGGCTGTGGTTGTGGCTCAGTGGTAGAGCGTAGGCCTACCACGTGTGAGGCACTGGGATCGGTCCCCAGCACCACATAAAAATAAATAACAAAATAAAAGTATTAGGGGCTGGGGATGTGGCTCAAGTGGTAGCGCGCTAGCCTGGCAAGCGTGCGGCCCGGGTTCAATCCTCAGCACCACATACAAACAAAGATGTGTCCGCCGAAAACTAAAAAATAAATATTAAAAAAATCACTATTAAAAAAATAAAAGTATTTAAAAAATGACACCATAAAAAATTAGCATGTTACTAGATTCTACTGAATTTTTTTTTTTTTTTGGTACTATTAATTGAAGCCAGGGTGCTTAACCACTCAGCCACATCCTCATCTCTTTTTATATTTTATTTAGAGATAGGGTCTCCTGAGTTGCTTAAGGCCTCACTAAGTTGCTGAGGCTGTCTTTGAACTACCAATCCTCCTACATCAGCCTCCTGAGCTGCTGGGGTTACAGGCGTGTGCCACTGCACCAGGCTCAGTCTATTGAGTTCTAAGTTGGTGTTTGTAGCAGATGCTTTTGGTGTCCCATCCCTGCCCTTCTGGCTTCACCCCTTCTGTGTGCTTAATATGACACTGCAGTGTCTGCATCTTCTTGCCTGGAGGGCATAATGCATCCTGCATGCAACCCTCAACTAGTCACTGATGGAAATGTAAATCAGGCTCATCCTCTTCCCTTGGGTGGAATATCACTGGAGGATTTGTTTCAAGTTTCCCCATGGAAGTACACTCAGCTACTCCTGTGGTAGCTGCCTTATTATCTGCTGTACCCTTTCCGTCTTGTACCGCCTTCACCAGTTTTAACACCTCCTCCACAAGTAATTTGCTATACTCAAAATTTGTTGTTTCCACATTTGCTCCCAGCACATTCTGACAAGATAAATAGGTTGCTGACTGTAGAGTTCTCCCTGGAGCTCAGCCATAAGAGAAATCCTTTTGAAATTTTTTATTTTATATCCTATTATTTTGATATCCTAAACAGACCTAGGTCTATATTAAAAATTGTTGCTATTTAGATCCTCTTATAGTACACAATCTTTAGTTTTTGCTTGATTTTATTTTCTTCTACCAATTCCATAACTTCTTTTTTAAAATATTTATTTTTTAGCTTTAGGTGGACACAATATCTTTATTTTACATTTATGTGGTGCTGAGGATTGAATCCAGTGCCTCATGAATGCTAGGCGAGCACTCTACCACTGAGCCACAACCCCAGCCCCCCATAACTTCTTATCTAGCATATAAAATAAAAATTTTAAAAAGTTCTAGTGAGAATGAGCATTAAAAATATACCACTCTGGAATATTTAACTATTTAAGCGAATGACTTTTGAAACCAGCAGATGCAAAAAGATCACTCTCATCTTTATGCTGTTTTTTAAAAAGAGATTAAATTCCTATATAGAAGCTGTCCTTTCTGTACATCTTGTCATCAAGATGGAAAGTCAAGACTGAGAATTCTGTGCAGCTCTTACTAAAATAACTATATGTAACCACTCCCCCCATATCTTATTTGCCTCTTGACAATTTAGTAATCTAATTGAGTATAAAAGTAACTGCTTCTTTGGGTCATTTACTTATGAAAGTTCTTGTACTATGTAAAATTTGTAGTAAATGAATTTGTATCCTGTTAATCTGTCACTACTTCTTGGGCCCAGCAGGGACCCTAAGAGGATGCAGGTGGAATTTTGCTACACTTTCACAAGCAAGTGGCACCCCATATTCTTGGGAACTCTTACTTCTTTGTGGGAGGAAAATTATGACTGTATATTTGGCTCAAAAATACCTAACCAGTATATTTATGCTGGCCAGCATGAACAGCAAGAGGAAAGATTTGCCACATTGTACATCCCTAAGCAGAATAGTTGAGATGTCAGAAGGAGGAGGTAGTAAGCCAATGAGGAGTAAACAAGCTCCCTTTGTCACCACCTTGGGAGATGGGGGCCTAATGAAAGCATTCCCAAGCCTGAGCACACAGCAGGCTGGTCCAAGCTGCTAAGTCCATTCTGATCAGGTGCACGAGCCATCAACTTTAAGCAGAGAGGTATAACACAGGATCCTGGGAAAACATGAGACAGGCTTAGTGCCAGCTCTGTCACAAGGATATGCAGAGCTGCACTGTTCCGTATGCTAGCCATTAGCCATATGAGGCTGTTTAGTCATTAAAATTAAATAAAACTAAAACTAGACTTCTCAATAGCCACATTTTGAGGACAGCACAGATACAGACTATTCCTGCTGCAGAAAGGTTTACTTGATAGCAGTGGCAGAGAGGACCCAAGGACTTCTTGTGGGCAAACAGTAGGAAAATGGGAGCTTTTTAGTGCTATTTCTTACAATTAAGTTACATGGACCTTTGTAAATGGTCCCTATAAAATTAGAACATTTAGCAGAATTCCCTGGACACAGGAGGGAGGGATAATGATGGTCGGAAGCCTTGCTGAACTAACTTGCTTGGGAGAAGAGAATTCCATCTCAAGAGGGCTTAGAGTGGGGTTAGCCTTACCACCCCACCACCCTACGCCCCAAGAAGCTAGACAGATGCCAACTAAAAGTTCAGGTTGGCAGAAAAAAAAATCACAGGCAAATACCATCAAATGCCAATAATAGGTTGATCATGTGGAACTGTCCTTTATTATTTTCCCAAAAACCCAGTAAGGTGCTTATATTCTTAAATATATTTAAGAGTCAAGGTTCTCAAAGAATTTGAAAAAAAATTGATGCAGTATTTGTTTTGAGTACACAGAGCTAGAAAGATGATTAGATACATTTGTATAAGCTGGGCAAATGCTCTAGTACTGATCTACATTTCCAGGCCTTTTTAAGACAGGGTCTTGATATGTTGCTAGGATGGCCTTGAACTTGTCATCCTCCTGCTTCAGCCTCTTGAGTGGCTGTGATTTCAGGTGTGTGCCACCATGCCTAGCTATTACCTTTCTCTCACCAAATACTTGTGTGCCTCAAGTTGAACCTAACAGGTATGTTAAAGCCAACCCAATGTCCTTCCTCCATCTGGATACAGGGGTAAAAAAAGTGCTGGGAAGTGAAGGAGCAATCAAGTTTGAAAACTTGCAGCTCATATTCTCTGTTACGGTGGGGGTGCATGCGCTCACTGATCCTCTGCTGCTATTCCTGGGGTCCACAGCCCACCACTGCAGAGGATCCAGCTGGAGTAAAGGGCAGAGTAAGTCAATTATGGGATGGAGGACACATACTCAGCTACAGATATAATCTTGCACTGACTGGGCAAGCCTTGAGACCTCCTGAGTTCTCAAGTGTTGATGTCAACCTACCTTTCTCTCTTCCTTTGTAAATGGGATGAAGTAGGTTCTTCTTTTTTTTTTCTTTTTAACAGTTGATTGATATTTGTTTGTTTGTTTATTTATTTGCAGTGCTGAAAACTGAACCCAGTGCCTCACACATGCTAGGCAAATGCTCTACCAGTGAGGTACAGCCCCAGCTCAAGGTAAGTTCTTAGTTCCTTGGAGGGGTGCTTGGAAATTGATGGAGAAATGCAGAGTATTACATAATGCCAATGAATACTGCTGTTAACAAAATAAGCAGCTCTGTCCTCAGGGCCCTCTCTTTTTGAAGACCCCAAGGAAAACCACAGGAGCACTTCTTTATGTTCCACACTATAAGAAGCCTCCTCAGGAAAAATGCTTTAGGCTTTTTGGTATTACAAGAGCCCATACATGTACAGTTCAGTGATGGTTTACTGATAACCTTTTTCAGAAACCAAAAATTATCAAATAATGAACCCTATTCAATAAACTGTTAAAAGGATACTGTGCCAGAAGTGTGTGTGTTTGTAATGATTTTTTTTCTTGTTTTAAAAGAAATCAAGACTCCTAGAATGGGAAAGAAAGAGGGCTATACACAATCTTAAAATGTAAAAACTAGTGTCTCATGTATGTGTTGAAATTTACCAAGTATTTTTAGAATTATGAAGTAGTTGAAATTCTTTCACTATCTAAAGAGCAAGATAATTCCAAGGGCCCAAATTCTTAGGGAAGTAGAGAAGTAATTGAAACAGGAAAGATTTTGTCCAAAAGCAGTAGTGGTGACAAGGACAGAAGTTTGTCACATATTGCTCTTGCTCTTATCAGATGTCATATCTAGTACAAATCTTTTGGAGGGTTTATATTCATTCCTCCTTCACAGAAGTTCTCCATCATAAGTATTTCTTGAGACTCAAGCTGGACTGAATGTACCCTGTGTGGGATGCCTGCAGAAATAGGATTCATGAATGACTGAATGCTCCAAATGCCAAAGAATATAGTTTCTGGACACGAAAATAAATCCAAGTGAGCAAAACATTTCAAAGTGATGGGACTTTACCTTGATGGATCCTTTGGTGTCGGACAAGGTGTGTACTTTGTCTAAAGCTTTCCCCACATTCAACACATTTATAAGGTTTTTCTCCAGTATGAGTTCTCTGGTGTTTAATGAGGGTTGCACTCTGACTGAAGCTTTTCCCACAGTCAGAACATCCATAAGGCTTCTCTCCAGTGTGGATTCTCTGATGTTTAAAGAGGTCTGAGCGCTGTTTGAAGCTCTTCTCACACTCTTCACATTTATAGGGTCTCTCCCCTTTATGTAGTCTCTGATGTCTAAAAAGGTTAGAAACATGGCAGGTCTCCCCACATTCCTCACATTTACAGAACTTCTCTCCAGCATGGGTTCTCTGATGCCGATTGAGATGCGAGCTCTGTCTGAAGTGTTCCCCGCACTTCAAGCATGTATATGGCTTCTCGCCTGTGTGTGTCCTCTGGTGTTTAATCAGGGCAGCACTCTGTCTGAAGCTTTTCTCACATTCTTGGCATTCATAGGGTTTCTCACCTGTGTGAATCCTCTGGTGTTTCAGGAGGTCTGAGCGCTGTTTGAACCTCTTCTCGCAGCGATCACATTTATAAGGTCTTTCTTCATGGAGCCATCTCTGGGTCTCACTGTCAACAGAGTTTTGAGGTTTCACTATGTGATGTTTCACCTGATCAAAACTTTCTTTGCACTTGTTCCCTTGTTCCTCACCATCAACTGGCCTCAGTGATGTCTGGATGTGCTGACCAAGGACAAAGCTGGAACTTTTAGCACTATTCCCAAATTCATTATTTTTGGAGACTCTCTCTTCTGTGGAACCACTGCTGTTGAGATCTGAGATGCTAGTTCTTGATCTGAGTCCTTGTTCTTCAGAATTTTTGAGTTTCAGTGACACAGGGTCTCTCGGGTGCTTTTCTACTCTGTCCTTACACATATTGTAACACTTAGAAAACAGGGAGGCCTTCCCCTGGGAAACTTCTTGTAGCCACACCTGTGGCTCTGCTTCTTCTAAAATTTCTTCTTTTGGAATCAACTCTTTGTTCTCAGCTTTAGTTTCCAAACCTGAAACATTAAAGTACAAACTGCTACCATTCATTTCATCTCTGTGCAATATAGCAAAACAAGCAAGTACTAGCAAAAAAGCAACCCCAGCCTCCTTTTAAGTATTTTCCATTAAATTCCTTAGGTGAAGTTATTTAGTTAACCTGTCTGATATGCTCATATTTGCCAGTGCAAACCCCATATCTTTCCTTTTATACTCATGCCTATGTCAACCAACCCAGCTCTTCTTCCCTAGCCCCACTCCACTGCAGTGATATGTCATTATTTGTGAAAGGTACATTTGGAAGGGCTGACAAGAAAGGATTGAATCTGAAGTACTGGGGGCAGGGGTGGGGCAACAAAAATAAATTCAGAAAAGGAAAAGAAAAAGTTGATATAAAAATAAATAGATAAAAGACATATAATGTTTCTCACAATTCAAAGACATGAGCTTCTATATTATTTTTTAAAATATTTATTTTTTAGTTGTAGTTGGACACAACACCTTTATTTCACTTATTTATTTTTTATGTGGTGCTAAGGATAGAACCCAGGGTCTCACATGTGCAAGGCAAGTGCTCTACCACCCAGCCCCAACCCGAGCCCCAGAGCTTCTGTTATAAGGGCCCACCAACTACTCAGAACAATGAATTAAAAAAATACATCTCGGGCTGGGGTTGTAGCTCAGTGGTACAGCGCTTGCCTAGCATGTGTGAGGCACTGGATTCGATCCTCAGCACTACATAAAAATAAATAAAATAAAGGTATTGTGTCCATCTACAACTAAAAATATTTTAAAAAATACATCTCACACTGAGGCATACAAAGGAAAACACCTAAATGTCTCCACCCAAGACAGATCACACATTGTGCTGTGTTCTTTTATATGCTTGTCAGGTGTGGCCACAAGAGAAGACTGAGGAGAGGCTCTAGGAAACAGTTTATTATACTCACAGTCCTAAGGACAGGAGGCACACCAAGCCATGTAAGCCACATAGGAAGGCAGCAATGGCAGAGGCAGAAGAGATAGGAGTAAGGGAGAACCTAAGCCATGACTTATTGGACAAGAAAGGTAAGAAAGGCAGGGTGAACTGGCGAGGGCTGGCTGTTCTGAATAATTTAGCAGGGCTCCAAGCCATAAAGGTGATCCTTTATTGCCTGGTACCAGACTCTGGGATGACTGAGGCATTGGAATACTGCTGTCTAGGCTGTGTGGACCAGACGGAGGGGGATCTGGGTTGGAGTTCAGGGTTGGTTAATTTGCACAGCAAAGGCATGCTCCTGGCTGAATTCTTTGCTGTCTTTCAGAATGGCTAGCCCTTGGCAATCTCTTTCTCAGTCAGAAAGATTTTAAGATGTCAAAATGTCATAATATACAAAAAGATGAAAAACATGAAGAAAATACACATCAAAGATAAAATACTATAATGGCATCAGAATTTCTCAAAAGCAACATGACAAACTAGATAGAAAATTAACTGTCTTCAAAATTATTTCTAACCTGAAATACCTAGCCATATATCTACCTGAGATGGGTAGTTTACAAAAAGCAAAGACTCATTTAACTCAAAGTTCTTAAGGGTGGGAACTGAAGAGTATTGTGCAGGCATCCAGCAAGGCCCTTCTTACTGCATCATTACATGGCAGAGGGATCACATGGCGAGACAGCAAGCATGTTGTCAGCTCAGGTCTCTCTTCCCCTGCTTATAAAGCCACCAGTCCCACCAATGGGGGCCCCACCCTCTTGACTTTTATCTATTCCTAATCACCTCCCAAAGGTCCCAATTCAAAATACTACCAGGCTGAGTTTGTGGATTAAATTTCCAACTGTAATATTTGGGAAACATGTTCAACCAAAGCATCACACTCTGATCCAAATGTGTGAGAGAGATAAAGATATCTGCAGACATGCCAAGTTTCAAAAGATTTAGTTCCCAAGTATATGTTCTCTGGCAGATGTTCTCTACCAAATCAAGGGGATATACCAAGGAAGAAAATATTACAGAATCCAGTAAAGAGAAAAGGAGTTTCCAGGAAAATGATGAAGGGAATCCTAGGACAAAAGCTGTGTAACAGGCCTGGGAAAGAAGCATTCTGTTCATACCAGAGCAGAGGAAGCTTTGAGGAGGATCTCTGCAAGGGGAAAAATAAAACTGGGAGCACATCCATGACCTAATGATCAATAGAAAACTAAGCAAATGCGGGGCTGTGATTGTGGCTCAGTGATAGAGCGCTCACTTAGCATGTGCGAGGCCCTGGGTTTGATCCTCAGCACCATATAAAAATAAATAAATAAAATAAAGATATTGTGTCCAACAACAACTAAACAATAAATATTAAAAAAAAAAGGTGGGCTAGAGATGTGGCTCAAGTGGTTTCGCGCTCACCTGGCATGCACGGGGCGCTGGGTTCGATCCTCAGCACCACATAAAATAAAATAAAGATGTTGTGTCCACCAAAAACTGAAAAATAAATATTAAAAAATTCTCTCTCTTTCTCTCTTCTCTCTCTCTATAAAAAAAATTTTAAAAAAAGAAAACTAGGAAATGCAAAATGAGGCATTATTAACTCCAGGGAAACAAAAAGTTGCAACAGAAAAGACACATAGGTGAATATAGATAATACTGAAGTATGGTATACTAATTTAACTATAATTATAAACTATAAAAGGCTAATTTAACTGTAGAGAATTATGGACCACTAAATATACATATGCAGGGGGAACAAAATTCTTCATTTTCCCCAGTAGGCAGCCAAGAGACAATAATCGAAATTGGTGGGAGGGGGGGTTAGTAGTACAAGCATCTTATTTAGAAATATAAAAATAAATAGCTGAGTGGCTAGCTGAAAGATTTTTTTTTTAATTTTTGCAAGACTGGGGATTGGATGCAGGGCCTTGGGCATGTTAGGCAAGTACTCTACCATCAATCTACACCCTCAGCAATAGTTAAAAGATTTGAAAATAGTTGCCTATGAGAAGCTAAAATTTGGATTCAGAAGGGTCTGATATTTATCTAAAAGACTCAATAAACACAAAGCACAGAATAAAACATTGAAAGATTTCCCTATATTAAAAATTTAAAATTCTATATAATAAAAGATGCCACAGTAAAAAGGCAAGCCACCTTATACAGCCAAGATGACAAAGGATTAGTATAAAAAAATATCAGGCACAATGGTACATGCCTGTAATCCCAGCAGCTCAGGAGGCTGAGGCAGAAGGCCCACACATTTAAAAAGCCAGCCTTAGAAACTTAGCAAGACACTGTCTCAAGGAAAAAAAAAAAATACGGGGTGGGGTGGGGCGGTGGTGTGTGTGTGTTGTGGGGAGGGGCTGGGGATGTTGCGCAGTGGTTAAGCAAGCCCCTCTGGGTTCAATCCCTGATACCAAAAACAACAAAAAACAAAAACAAAGGCTGAGGGATCAGCAGTATCAGCAGTGTGGGAAGAGAGGGCTTGATAGGCAAAGTGCAGCATTAAACAAGGCAGTCAGGATCAGGCTTCATTGAAAAGGAGTTATTTAAGCAAATTCCTGAAGCTGAGTCAGTGTGTGCTTTACTGAAAATCCAGAGGAGGGACATTCAAGGCAATGAAGTCAATTGGTGCAATCATTACACAGACCAGGAGGCAGGATGTCTGGTACATTCAAGTTCAGCCAGGCAGTGTGGTCAGAGCAGAGTGGATTGCAGACAGTGGGGAGACCAAAGGATGGGTGCTCAAGGAGGAAGGTTCCCAGCATCAAAGGACAATCAATGGCTCTCACCCTCATGAAATGAAAGCCACTGTAGGTCCTGAGTGACATGACCCAACATCTGAAAAGGAACAATCAGGCTGCTGTGTGAAGATGTCATGCCACCAGCCAATTTCACCAAATGTTGACAAGAATGCAGAGAATGAAAAATTCTCATAAGTGGCTTATAGGCATATAAATTGGTGATAAGCTCTGTGGACAGCAAGAGGGGCATACATCTTTGCATACTGTATATTCTCTTTGGAATCACCCATATATGAATACAGGGATGTAACAAGAATGTTCAGTGTCACATTGTAATGGTGAAAAACTAGACACCTAAATGCCCATTGGCAGAATGGAAGGTTAATTTTGGAGTTTTCACACAGCAAATAAGGTGTTAAAAGAAAGCTTAATTATATCTGATCTGTGACTGAATGTATATAAAGAAATATAAAACATGTGTGGAAAGGATAAATACCACAATCAGGATATTGGTTACCTCTGGAGAAAGAGCATGGGGAATAGCTTCAAGGAGGGTACATGAGGCTTCACTTTAGCTATGACTTCTTATTTCTTGGGGGAATAGAAAACAAAATCAATATGGCCAAATATTAAGATTTGATAAGCCTGGGTGGTAAATAAACAGTTGCTCATTATCTTTTTATATTTTCTCTAAGTGTAAAGTATTAAAAATAACTAAAATAAAAAGCTGAATCAAGCCGGGAATGGTGGCACACGCCAGTAATCCCAGTGGCTCGGGAAGCTGAGGCAGGAAAATATCAAGTTCAAAGCCAGCCTCAGCAAAAGCAAGGCACTAAGCAACTCATTGAGACCCTGTCTCTAAATAAAATACAAAAATAGGGCTGGGGATGTGGCTCAGTTGTCGAGTATCCCTGAATTCAATCCCCGGTACCCACCACCCCCAAAAGCTGAATCTGTCACTTAGCAACAGAGAATAGAAAGGTCCTGCTTGGGTCACAGAAGAAACTCTAAAGCTCTTGGCTCACATCTGTACATGGTAGAATGGCTCGGGAAATGCAGTGAACTGAGCCCTTCACAAATTACATACATTATAAATCAGCAGAGTAATAGCACTCACTATGCAGGACTGTGCTCCCATTATCCTTCTGTACATTCTCCCTGCAGAAGTCCCTTTGAGCTGTGTCCAGCTGCTCCCACTCCTCCCAGGGTAGAGACACGGCCACATCCTTGAGTGTCACCAATCCCTGGAACAACATGAGATTCCTATTCAATACCTGCTGTCCCTGGGCAGCACTGTCACTAGTCTGAATATGAGGTGAAACTCCAGAGAGTACTGAGAAGAGGAAGCACTGAGAACCAACCATAGCTATTCAGTTTGGGCCAATGAGTCTTGTACTGAGCGGGGAGATTTGAAGGGATTGACATTGTCTTGTAATCCTAAAAAGCTTTTCTGTGTACTGCCTACACTAATTTGGGGTAGGCAGGAGCAAATACTTAATGCATGTTATATCACTGTGGTTTATCAAAACGGAAACTTGATATAGATGAGAAATATATAACCAGAAACTTTCACATTCCAGTGCTGACACTCTGAGATGCTGTTTCCTTATGAGCAAAAGACACACCTCAGCCAGAGGGTGCTAAGTCCTTTCAGTTCTCTGCCCTTGGCTACTTTATAATAAGATAATTATGCAACAAGACACTCTTTGAGATGGCTTATTAAATGTAAGCTGACTACTTCTGTGGGTGAATGCCACAATATATAGAAAGGGAAGATTCTAAAAGTGGTGAGGGAGATGTTTTTCCAGTTCTAGTGTGGGTCATAAATTAACTCCAAGGCTCTTCCACTCACCGTACTGTGTGTATGTACATATATGTCGACCCATGCCTATGTGTATTTACAGGTTAAGTATCCTGTATCTGAAATGCTTGGGAGCAAAAATGTCAGAGTTTAGAGTTCAGATTTTGGAATATTTGCATAAATTTTACTGGCTGAGCAGTCCTAATCTAAAAATTCAAAATCTTTTTTTTTTTTTTGGTGCCAGTAATTGAACCCAGGGTGTTTAACCACTGAGCCACATCTCTAGCCGTTTTTACTTTTTGTTTTGAGGCAGAGTCTTGCTAAGTTGCTTAGGGCCTTGCTAAATTGCTGAGGTTGGCTTTGAACTTGGGATCCTCCTGCCTCAGCCTCCTGAGTCACTGGGATTACAGGTGTGTGCCACTGCACCTGGCTAAAATCTAAAAATTCTTGAGTTTCAAGCTCCTACAACAAATAAGTATTGCAACAAATGTCAATAGTGCTGAAGTTAAGAAACTCTGCCTGTTATCATGCTAAAATATGAAATGGCCATCTTTTTTCTTTTTTTGTCTATAGTCTCCAAATTATATTTCAAAACCAGTAATGGAGTACCTTTCAGAATATTAGTACTATTTTTTCTAGTATTCTTCTGAAGAGTCTACCACACGGTTGTATTTTAACATCTGAAAACCCAAAAATAATTAGGATTGTAAATAAGATGTACATAAGTATATAGCTGTGGACCAGGAATCAAAGGCAGGAGACACTGTTAAATAAACCTGTGGAGAACGGTGACTTGGATCATGGTCTCTGACTGCCTTGTGGCTGTGGATGCACTTGTACTGGGAATTTTCTGTGCAAACATGCAGGTCAAGATTGCCCAGTTGTTATGGCAACATCCTGCCTGAGGAAGCTCTGTGTAAAGGCACAGAACTATATCAGTCTTGACCCTGATCTCAGACACCAGCTGCCAGGGATAAATAATTCTGGACATAATAAGATAACCACAATGCCTTGTAAGTGCCATGACTTTCAGGCTTTGCAGAAACTTTCCCATAAATCACCTTTATGTGTGTGTGTACTGGGGATTGAACTGAGGGGCACTTGACCACTGAACCACATCTCCAGCTCTATTTTTTGTATTTTATTTAGAGACAGGATTTCACTGTGTTGCTTAGCACCTTGCCGTTGCTGAGGCTGGCTTTGAACTTGTGATCCTCCAGAGCCACTGAGATTAAGGGTGTGTGCCACCACACCCAGCTCATAAATAACCTTTTGATGATAAAACCTACATAATAAACATGCTGTACTAGCTCTGGGTCACTGTTCCTCCAGCAGAGGATGGTGTCCCACCTGGTCCCAGCTTGCTTTCTATAAGTGTTATTGTGTTTTTCTTAACACCCAACTGGTCCTTGCCAGTTTCTAAGGTTCGGCCATGCAAGTTGTGGCATGAACCCTCACATTTTAAACAGATAGATATGGTTACGGAATCTGGATCTCCTCTTTCCCAGATGGACACTTTTCCTATTTTACAGTTTTTTGACCCTAAACGTCTGTGCCTCATATTTATCTCTGAAATGAGAGAGGATGACACCGCCATGGTATTTTTTAGCTACTAGATTTTATTTGTCTTCAATTGCTGCAAAAGGCCATATGCTAGGGGCTGGAGTTGTAGCTCAGTGGTAGAGCACTTGCCTGGCACGTGTGAGGCACTGGGTTTGATCCTCAGTACCACATAAAAATAAATAAAGATATGGTGTCCATCTATACAACTAAAAAGTATTTTTTTTAAAAAAGGCCATATGCTAAAACCAAATATTAATGACTTTTGGCTACTACTTTCATTCTTGTGGATAATTACAAACAAAATAAAACCTAATAGCAAGCTGCCATGACACAGATGATCACTTATTTTCAGAGTGGGCAGTGTTTAAAAACTACCTAAGAGATATAGATGGAAACTTCAGAGAATGCTTTGCAAACACAGTACTGGAAATCTTCAGATTCTAAGGATTGGGAAACCCAGTACTGTGTAATAAAGTCAATCTCCTGCTGATTTCAGTGACATTCCTTTCTTCCTACCTTTAAAGCTAAAGCTGGAGGGCTGAGGTTGTGGCTCTGTGGTAAAGCGTTTGGCTAGCATGTATGAGGCACTGGATTCTATCCCAAGCACCTCATTAAAAAAACAACAACAAAAAAAAAAAAACTAAACTAAGCTAAATAAACAAAATAAAGGTATTTTGTCCATCTACAACTAATAATATTGAATTAAAAAACCCCAAAGCTGGAGTGTTCTGGTTTGTTGTTCAATGGTGTCAATACTCATACAACAAAATACCCTTTTTCATTTTTTGCTTTTAGTGGAAAAGAAATATGGAGTAATGTGCAGAAGAATGTAAGGTCATTCATAAAAGACTGACATAGAGCAATGAACAAAGATCTGCTAATGTTATGACACCTTATCACAAAAATATTTGATTCTAGGGCCGGGGTTGCAGCTCAGTGGTAGAGCACTTGCCTTGCATGCATGAGGCATCCTCAGCACCACATAAAAAAAATAAATAAAGATATTGTGTACATCTACAACTGAAAAAATATTTTAAAAAATTTGACTCTCAACTGCTGCATTTTTCTTTCTTTCTTTCTTTCTTTTTTTTGGTACTGGGAATTGAACCCAAGGGAGCTTTACCACTGAGGTACAGTCCGCAGTCCTTTTTATTTTTAGACAGGGTCTCTCTAAATTGCCAAGAGAGCCTGGAATTTACGATTCTCCTGCCTCAGCCTCCAGAATCACTGGAATCACAGGCAAGTGATATTGTGCCAGGCTGCGGTATGTCTGTCATGACTAGAACTAGTTAGCTTTGGCTTTAGTCCTGCAGCAGCAAAATGGAATTCAATGGCAAGTACCATAAAGGTACAGAATTAGGTCCAGTGAATCCCTTAATGCAACAAGGCTCATTTTAAGTCCAACAGTAGCCAAGGACTGTGGCACCCTATAATCCCAGCTACTCAAGGGGAGGTTGAGGCAGGAGGATTGCTCAAGTTTGAGACAACACAGCAAGGTCCTAAGCAACTTATGAGACTAAAGTAAAAAAACAAAAAGGGCTAGGGATAAACTTAGTGGTAAAGAATCTCTGGGTTCAATCAGCTACCCGCCCCCCCAAATCCAACAGTAATCCACAAATCATTATTACATCAAATATACTTTCGCTAAAAACCCACCAGTGGGCTGGAGTGTAGCTCAGTGGTAGAACATTTGGCTGGCATGTGTGAGGCATGGGTTTGATCATCAGCACTATAAATAAATAAATAAATAAACGTTACTGTGTTCATCTACAACTAAAAAAAAAAAAAAAATTAAAAAAGCCCACCACTGCTGCAGCTTCCGACTCCCCAACTGATATCAAGTAATGTCTGCAAATTGAAAAATAAAAAAGTACAACCAACTTCACTGTGGGAGGCGGGGATAACTAAGCTGTTAAAAAGCAAAACGGGATGTTCACATTAAAGATGCTGAGAAATTGCTGTTCTAAGTTGTTTAAGGACATAAGCCCGCTTTCCATCCTGACATCATTCTTTTCCAGTCCAGTAAAAGAAGAGGGTGTCTTGCAATGGATAACCAGTAATTTGCTTGATGCTAAGTCCTTACTAGGCCCTGCTTGCTATGGAAATAAAACAAAGTTCACACAAAATGTAACAAGGGAGAAAGAATGTCGGCCACTCGGAGCATCCCTCACACTCCCACCATCCAGAACAGGCCTTTCCCCTTCTCACCGGGGGTGAGGTCCCGCCCAGCGCTCTCTGGAGAGCCCGCGCCACAGCCTCTTCCCCACTCTCTGGGCAGTGGTCCCGCACCCAGGCCTGGAGTTCGTGGAGTAGGATGGTCAGGAACTGCTCCAGCAGTTCCAGGATCTGCTCCTTCGAGCGCATCTCAGGCCTAAGCCACCGACGACAGAGTTCCCTGAGCCGACTTAGCGCCTCTTCGGGTCCATCCACCTCCTGGTAACGCAACTGCCTAAACTGCTGTCGAAAAGTTTCGGGGTCCTGCCAGGCCCCGGGCGGGTCGGACTCCAGACCTCCGACGGAGTCTTCCTCCACCTTCACTATGAAAAGCCCCTCAGGTAGGGGCTGCGCGGCGACCCTGGATCTCGCGGCCATCCGCGCCTTTGGGCAAACAAGCTCGAACCCATCTTTTTCCGGCACTTGCTGACTTTCCCAGAGTCTTGCCTTCAGATGAGAAGACAGCAAACCCCAGGAACTCATGGGCCCTCCTCAAAGCGAGGGCTCACGGCAATCGTGTCCCACACACCCGACTCCACGCAGCCCGCTGTCCACTAGGCACTCGCCTAGCACCGGGGATACCCCGGCACCCCCTAGGTCCTTTGATAGAAAAAAAAAAAAAAAAAAAAAACCAGCCTACGCAGGAAGTGCGTCACCGATCCCTGCGGTGCCCGCTCCAGCATTTCCGGGGCCTCTCCAGGCGGCCCGGAGGACTGAGATGCATCTCGGTGGTTTACCATCCTTCTCACTCCCGCCATCCCGAGGCGGCGACTCCTGTGCTGATTTCTGCATCTGGAGAAAATAACCGGTTTAGGAGCAGTTGATAGGACAAGGAACTGTCAGAGTTGGGAGAAAACAAAAAAGAACTTTAACTGCTTCTGTGTACGTCACATGTTATGGCCTTTGATTCTCTCAAAGATGAGGAAACTGTGGCTGGAAGAAGTCTTGCCTGATAATCAATAGGCTTGTGACTAATAAATGAGACCAACATGCCCATTTCAAACTCCAAAACTGAGCACTTTCCACTGATACATGTTCAGTTATTGTAATTTTTCTCCCCCCAAAGCGATTTCTTCGCCCAAGCTATTTGGTTCATTTATTCATTCATCTATTCAAGAAACCTATCCAAGGACTGAGAATGTAGCTCAGTGGCAGGGCGTTTGCCTAGCATGTGCAAGGCCCTGGGTCCAATCCCCTGGACCAGTGGGTGGTGGCGAGTTGACTGCTGTGCTTCTGCTCTCCGGAAAGTGACAAGTTGACCTGGCCTGTTATTATTGGTACATGTCACTGCACCTCCTAAAAGTACAGGGCACACTGTGGCCCTTCAGTCACCAAATGCCCAGTGAATATTTCCTGAGCATCTAAGACCTTTGAAGCTCTAGCAGAGTAACAGAACTCCTCCCTCCTTCAGGGTGCTGTATGAAGTGAGAGCAGGGGATGGAATAGGGGGTGATGGGGATGTCTTAACAATTCCTACAAACTGGGTGGTTTAAGAAATTTATCATCTCAGTTCTGGAATCTAGAAGTGTGATATCAAGTTGTTGGCGGAGTGTTTCCTTCCAAGGGCTGAGAGGAAGAATCTGCTCTTAGTTCACCCCAGCTTCTAGTGGTTGGTGTCACTCTTCCCTGTTCTTTGGCTAAATGCAAAAGTATCATCCCACTCTGACTCCATCTTCACATGTCGTTCTACCTGCAGGCATGGTCTGTCTCCAAATTTCCCTTTTATAAGACAACAGTTATAACCAATTAGGACCCACCCTAATGACCTCATTTTCAACTTGGTAAAGACCCTATCTCCAAATACGGTCACCTTCTTAGTTACTGTGAGTTAAGACTCCAACATGTGAATTTTGGGGGACACAATTCAATCCATAAGAATAAGCTCTATATAGGTCTGTTATCTAAATTTCTGAGAAGGTTCCAGGTTCAAAAGGAGCAAATGTGAGATGATAATCTAGGGTAAAAGAAGAAAGAACTTAGAACAGTCAGCAATTTGCCCTCCTATCCCAGAGAATGATCACTGGAAAACTCCCCAGATTTCCTCATTTCTATGTCATGGAGCCTTTGTGTACTGCTATTTATATGATTCATGATAACCCCAACACTTATCAAGTGCTTATTATGTGCTAAGAAGTTTGAAGAGCTATATCTCAATCCTTACAATGAGACACTCTGGGTTAGTGCAGTTAACTGAGAACCAGAGAAAAATAATTTACCCAAAGTTTTCAGTTACTAAGTGGCAGAACTGGTATTAGAACAGGATAGCAATACCTAATGCTCTAGTCTTTTCTTCCATTATTTTTACTTTTCTTTAAAATATCTTTTAGTTGTTGATGGACCTTTTATTTTATTTATATGTGGTGCTGAGAATCAAACCCAGTACCTCACACATACTAAGCAAGCACTCAATCACTGAGCCACAATCCTAACCCTTACTTTTCCTTTTTCCTATTTATATTGATTTGAACTTTTTACACCAAATCTTTACCTTAGGGGCAACTTGTAGATTTATTTTCTTCAACTGTGAGTAACTTAGTACAGTAAACCTTGGGCTAGAACTGAGACAACTTGGATCTTCTTTGCCCAAAAGGTCCAGATATGGTTTTGGAAAAGTCCTCTAAGGATTATAAGCCTTATTGTTCCAATATATAAAACAAGTATGGAACAGGATTATAATTATTCAAAATAATGTTTGATTTTGGAGGATCATACAAAAGACTGTCTCAAAATGAAAAATTAAAAGGGCTGCGGATGTGGCTCACTGGTTAAGCGACCCCTGGGTTCAATCCCAGGTACAAAAACAAACAAACAAACAATGACTTGAATTTTGGCTCATGCAAATCCATTCCCTACTTTAAGAAATAAATGACATTTTAAAAATGTAAAGGTCAGCAGAGTGCAGTGGCACACTCCTGTAATCCCAGCCCCTCGGTGGCTGAGGCAGAAGAATCACAAGTTCAAAGCCAACCTCACCAAAAGCGAGGTGCTAAGCAAGTCAATGAGACCCTGTCTATAAATAAAATACAAAATAGGGCTGGGGATGTGCAGTGGCGGAATGCTCCTGAGTTCAATCCCCGGTACCTGCCCCCGCCCCGCAAAAAGGGGAGAACATTTCGAAGCCACTCAAATTGAGGTAGGTTTCTTGGAAAAAATAGATATCCATCTCAGACAACTTTTACATACATTAAGTCAACTGAATAAAAGCACCAAAATTAAGCCCCAGCTGCAAAATCCTACACCACACTCCTTCGTCGATTCTATTTTTATTTTTAAATGTCAACTTACACGCAAAATACATTGCGGACTTTCACCAGAGTCTTGGTCTTAAATAGGAAGCAACCTATCATGCATGAGATTTTGAGTGGTCTGGAAAGTGTCCTTTAACTTCTAAATATCCTCTCCAATCTGTTGGTAGAAGCTGCAGTTCCAGAGCCGTTTGAGCCCCAAAGAGTGGCGATAAGTGAATCTGTCGTGTCTGTCCGACAGCTTTGAAAACGGGCAAACTTAAAAGTGAGAGATTATTAAATCTCTTGAGCTTGAGATAGGGAACCCCTGAGTAAACAACGGCCTTTGCAAGTTTTGCTCTCCCCACCCCTAAGGCCAATAGGCACCCGGCGCCCCCACTAGTCTTCCAGACGGGCGCCAGCGGACACGCCACCCACCCTGCCGCTTTCTGATAGGCCCGCGAGAACGAGGCTAGAAGTAGAGTCGTGGCCCTATTGGTTAGCTGGTGTAGCCCGCGCGGGGCTTCCTGGGAGATGTAGTCCCAAGAGCCTCTCGCGCTGGCGAATTGCGGGTGTGACGTTGGAGACTTCGGCCCAGTGAGCCGACTGTGGCAGTAAAGAGGTGGGTGTGTTTGGAAAGGGAGGGATGAGAATTTGGGTGAATAAAACCTAAAGTGCTCAAAGTATAAGATGTCCGAGGCTTACGGACTCGCAGAAAGATAGATACGGACCTACTTCGAATTGGGGCGCAGAGCGTTGGGGGTGGGGAGGCGCCAGGACCGCGGCCAATCAGGCGCCGGCAACTGTTGCCTAACCCTTGATGCCCCGCCTCTTGTCCTCACTCCAAGAAAGGGGGAGGAGCTCGGCTGTTTCTTGGCTGTGCTGTGGGGTGGGGAAGAGGGTGACTGGGTTTCCTGGCCGACTCTGGTAACTTTGTATTTGCACCCTAGAGGCCTAGGGACGTCCGGGTTGTGGGCGGTGGGCTGGGGGTCCGGCCGCGCCCTATCTCGGTGTCGATTGGTCATCTTTCCCTCTGGGGCGGGGCCAGGGGCGGCACCCCCCACCCCACCCGCTGCGAGGCGAGGACCTCCGGGATTCCTAGAGAGGCCTCGGAAGTGCTCTCGTGGGTGGGATTTATGGCTTAAGCTTGGACTTGCTTACTTCCGGTGAGGAAGTGTTGGGAAGTGTCAGCATCAGTGTTCTCCTGTTTTGTACGATTCCCGGTCTTCCAAATCTTGGCTGCGGGGAGTATGATCTTTCTGGAGAGCTAATTGGGACTGGGGACTTGAGGGGAGGGAGTAGGGCTTTTGTATTCGGACGGGGGATCTGTCCCTAACCTTGACCGGGCTGTCTGTGTGGTGGGGTCAGGAGCGGTTTCAGAGGAATTTGGGTCCAGATCTTTACCTTATACCATATCTCTTCTGGACCAATGAAGTCTAAAGTTGTCTGTCAAGCTCTTGTGGCTTGATGGACAGAACCAGTTATGAACATTTTAATGTTTTTCACCCCCATTCTGACTTAAGTTTGATTTATGGTAGAGAGAAGGAAGGGCTCCATCTGTAATAGTAAGTTTTGTCTCATTATTTATAGGAACTGTCAAGTATTTTTGCCTCTAAAATTGTGTCTTAGATTGAGACTGATGTGAAATTTTTATGAGTGTTCATTACTTTTTTTTAAATCTTGGAGGTAATCTCTTGATAATCTTCTTATGGATGGAGTGGCGGCTGCCTTGCAGTCCATATTTTTAAGTAAATTACTTCGTTGAGTGTCATCTTTAGTTTTTGTATAGAACGTCTTTGCCGTCTCTCTTTGCTAATAATGATTCCCGGTATATATCAGTAGGTTGCACACTACTGAAAGTGCTCTTCAGAAGACAAATTGGGTCAGAGTAACACAGCCAGCCTCGAGAGAATTCCCTCTGAGTTGGAATGATAATGACAGAATCCCGGGAAGTTATAGACTTAGATCCTCCAGCTGAGACTTCACAGGAACAGGAAGACCTTCTAATAGTGAAGGTGGAAGAAGAAGACTGCACCTGGATGCAGGAGTACAATCCGCCACCATTTGAGACTTTTTACCAGCGGTTCAGGCATTTCCAGTACCATGAGGCATCAGGTCCACGTGAGGCTCTCAGTCAACTCCGGGTACTCTGCTGTGAGTGGCTGAGGCCCGAGTTGCACACCAAGGAGCAGATCCTGGAGCTGTTGGTGCTGGAGCAGTTCCTGACCATCTTGCCAGAAGAGTTCCAGGCCTGGGTGAGAGAACATCATCCTGAAAGTGGCGAAGAGGCTGTGGCTGTGATAGAAAGTATACAGAGAGAGCTTGAGGAACGCAGGCAACAGGTGAGTGGAAGAAGAGGCAGGAGCAGTGAGGAAGGAGAAGAAAGAGTT